AGTGCGTTGGGGGTAGGTGGGAGGGGTGTGGATGGGAGGTAGCTTTTCACTCGTATTATTATAATGCGATCTCAATTTTTCCCCTCGCAAACCGAATTCGAAAAAAAAAATCTTCGTTCTTTTCTCGGTTTTTCTAAGAATACGATAAGCGTGGGTGTCATCGCTGGGAATGAGGCAGGTCGCCACAGGGGACCAAGCGACGATATCTGTGTCGCGAAGAGGTGGAAAGAGGTTAGGAAAACAGTGTATAAAAACACGCCAACTTCGTAAGGTATCCTTGTGTTATTGTGGTAGCTTTCAAAAATTAAGAGATAGTACGCATGTTTGTATAAGTCTCAGCCGCACCCGGGTGGCATGTCGCGGCACACAGTAGAAAGAGTCAACGGGAAAACTCGGACTAAAGTTGGAAATTTCGTAAGCTTGAATCTTCATCAATGTAAAACGATCAAGTTTAAAAGTGATTCCGCCGGATTTCTCGAAAATTTTCCTCTCAGAGACACCCCTTAAAATTGGAATTATGACGGAATAATTATCAAAATTCGCAATTTTCGTCTAAAGTTTCATGTCCAACCCCTCCTCTGTGCGGCATAGATTAGAGTGGAAGAGAAAGGCCACAAGCAGCTCTCCTCCTCCTCTTGTTCCTAAAACTAAAAATCATGAGAAAAGCTCAATGGAGTAGACGGGAAGAAGGAGAGAAAAGAGTGAAGGGCAGGGCACGCTACTAAGAGGAATTATCAGTGAAGAAAAGTTGGTCAAAACGGAGCTTTTTTTCTGAAAGCTCGCCTTACTACGATAGAGGGCGACAGGTTGTTGCTGAGTGTCCCTTACCCAGAAGTAACTTTTCTTCTACCAATTTCTTTGTTGCTCTGACGGATTATTGGGCGAAAATGAGCACGATTTCAGTTTTTTTGAGATTTCATAAGAAAATTAACCGCCTCTGCAGGGTTACCACGAATGGGTTCGGACCCCGACTCCAAACTCCTACCTCCCCCATCAAAAAGGGCAGCAGTTATATCTACGAAAGTCCCAACTAGTAAAGGCCAATCAGACTGTTCCTCCCGCCGGTTTGCAGGGGCGCTGGTGAACATACCATCCTAAAAATTCCCGGCTCCCCAAAATATCCTTTTTCGAAAAAAAGATGTCCATAAAATTTTCTTCGCGCTGAAATATCGGAGGCTCGAATTGACAGTCCGCCTACACTGAAAAACAAAACTCCAACAATCGAAGCTACGACTCCAGCACCCGGAACTTCCGATCTCTGAACCCGAAACGGACGGTATGTCCGTATAGCCGGCCGTAACTTTTTTTTTTAGTGCAAAGAGTTTTTTCGGGTCCGTGAAAGGGACAATTTTTCTGAAATACTTGCGGAACATAATTTTTGTCTCAAACTAACTGAGAGGATGTCAAGAGCATTTCCTTCTCGGTAAGCCACACAAATTATTTTCCACTAATATTTTAGAAAAGTGTTTTTTTTATTATTATTATTTTCGTTTACTCTACGTAACTAAACGAGTGAACTGTCAACTCTAGCCTTGCCCCCAACCATAAGCGTCTCTATAACATTGAGGGTTTTATACGCAGTCCTTTCAGGGGCACTCGAGAGACGATACTCGTGTTTAGGCCCCTAAATAACTCTGCACGTCCCATCGGAGGGAGACAAAACGGTCAGTTCGAAATGGAAATTGAAAACGGAATTTACCAAGAGCGACGAGGGCTCAGCCAGTGGCGTGGCGTGCTTTGCGATGTATCGATTGATCTGCCATTTGAGCTTATGGAAAAAAATCGATAAGCAGGATGCTCGCCGCGAACACCTTGAAAATCGATTCTTTACCACAGCTTCAAATGGAGAAATATCGAAAATCGATCATTCACGCCTCGCCTGCGGTGCGGTGGTCCACCTCCCTGAACTTCGTCCGACCTGACAACCTGTTTTTGTTTGACAAACAGACGTAATACCAGCAAGCGCGATGACATAATGGTCTCCCTTCCTCCCGAGATGGAGAGCACCTTAATATTCGAATATCAGACCATTCCACGTTGATGCCCTGACACGAGGCATTCCGTAGGTACCCGGACAAAATCCCGATTTAGGTCTTGGAGAGCTTGGAAATTACACGAACACTGGAAAAAAAAAGTCGCTTGGATCTAGCGGCCAGACTCTTGGAAACAATGACAAGAAAAAATACTGTTGATTCAATCGGATTTTTGCTTGAATCAAAATGAAATCCGCTTAAATTAAGAGGCTTGGTAAGCTTGGTTCTCGATTTAAGCAATAATCCGATAGAATAAAGAGTATTTTTACTTGTCAGTGTTTCTAAGAGTCTGGACTCCAGATCCAAGCGACTTTTTTTTTCTAGTGAACGATTGATTTTCAGCGGTTTGAAGGATATCGCTCGAAGTGTAAGAGAGTTGTGTTGCCAACGTCGCACACTGTAACGAAACATAGGATTGCCCGGTCATGGACTTCCTCCGCAACCTCTTTCCGCTATATCCTTCGATCTTTATGGAATTTCAGGTCCAAACTAAATGTTCCCGAGGCAATTTCATCGCAGAATCTGATTTTGACCTTAGTTTGGTCGATTTTCACACGGAAATGCATGTTTTTGGGTGTTTTTATGAAGTATTGCTCAGGATAGTAGGAGTTAAGGTGTATTCGTAGATTTTTTCTCCAGTTTCTCTCAACCGTTTCACTCCCTTTTCCAAAATTCCAAGTTAAATTTCACGTAATCTGAAGTATTTTTATCGTAGAATTCGATTTTGACCATAATTTTATCGATTCATCGACGCAAACATTACATCACATCAGCATTAAGGAAGAAGTATCGGATAAAATAAAATTATGCTTTAATATATATGATTACTGTGCAGTTATTTCAAAGTGGAATAATTAGAACGTATTGAAAGAATAGGAAATTAAAGTAAAGATTCAGGTGGCATGGCAGTCATCAATAAATGGTCTAATATCAGTAAGGATAAAGTCCCCTCGTCGATCAATTTACATCTAATCCTACGATGGGAAATCCGTTTGGCCAGTTACGCTCTTCGTCGCGTCTTAAGCGGATGGAACGCAACCGCATATTTGCTGATGTTTAACACTACCATGCGTAGTCATTATTATGTTCACAATATTACTTAAATAAAACAGCTACGCCTTAATTCGCAGGGTGTAATAATTGGATTAAGCGCATCTAGCAACCTGCGATATTTGCTTTCGAGAGAGGCAAATTTCTCTAAGCTTACACCGAGGGGGGGGGGGGGGGGNAGCCACGAAAAATAATACCATTCGATCGAATGGGTCAGTTGCGCTGGTCACAGAATTGTGTTTTGATACTTGATTTCAGTAGATTAGCTAAAAATATTATGATCCGTCCAAACTGCAACTTTCTACGTTCAAGAAACCGAGTTATCGAACTTTGAAAAGTCGGGTTTTTACAGTCATCCACCGCGGTAGTGACACCCTTGGTTTCTTCCACCTTGGTTTTATCAGTCAAGGAGACACACATTAGCACTGGTTACTCACCTTTACAACCTTGGAAATTTCCGTGAAATATTTCATGAAATTTCACAAAGCTGGGAAAAATATGAAACACATTTTTAGGGGATAGGTATGCAACACGCAGTGGCGTGGCGTGAATTGCGATATATCGATTGTTATGCCATTTAAACCTAAGAAAAAAGATCGATTATCAGGGTGTTCGCAGCGAACACCTTAGTAATTGATTCTTTACCATAGCTTTAAAGGCGAGATATCGATAATCGATTATTCACGCCACGCCACTGGCAACACGCCCCAGAAAACATCAAGAAGCAAACGTCACTTGCCTATCATTCAATTTTGCACTTAATTTCGAATGATATTTTTCAATATCTTTCACAATTCTTTGAAAGGAGGGGTATTAATACGGGCCGTTTTCGACCCCACCCTAGCTGAATTTCCTCAATTCCACGATTTTTATCTCATTACAGATCTATATTTTACGAAATGCATCATGATCAATTCGATCATTTTTGGTCTCTTTTCAGGTATCATACCTAATCATGGCCTAAACTTGAGTCTGAAGGTCTATTTTGGCGAAAAATGCGGTTTTTTCAACGCACGACCTGGTATCCGCACAACCCGTATTCTTGGCGAAAATCATTCCTCAGCTCCATATTTAGGCCAGAATTACATCCGAAAAATTTCATCCTGGTATCCGCAAAACCCGCATTTATGGCCAAAATAATCCCTCAGCTCCAAATTTAGGCCAGAATTTCATCCGAATGTAGACCAAAAATGACCAAATCGCGATGCGTCCCGTAAAATATAGACCTTCAAATACGCAAAAAAGTCGTAGAGTTAAGGAAATTCAGGATCGGACTTTGTGCAGCCCTTATCGATACCCCTCATTTCTATAATACTTCATATTTCATGGAAAATTGCAACCCCGGAGATATTTCGCTGGAATTTTCGCGGAAAACCACCGCCAAAAAGTCAAGAGCGGCTCGATGCCGGTTGATCAGAGGTGGATCCAGCAATCTGGCAACACCGGATTTCCTCCATTTAACCCTATGTCAAATAATCGATTCTTGTCAGAGGACTCGGCCCCTACAAGTATCGTTACATTTCCATGGGTTTCAACGGAAGAAAGACAATGTTGCCGATTCGGCGGATCCGCCAATGCGGTCGATCGGGACCGCGAAGCTTGAGGCGGGCGGCTGTCTCGTCGACCCGATAAGCTGCCACGGACCAATGAAAGCCTCCCCGCCGGAGATGCGCAGATCAGGTGTCAAAGCCAAAGTTTTTTTTTTCTTTTTTACTCGCGAGCATGATTGAGGTTCAAGCCGGGGTGGAGCTCCGCCGCTCGGGGGGGTCCCGAGTCCGTCGGAGCCGGCAGCCGCATTGGGAGACCCCCCCCTCCCCGCTCCCACCCCTGGGGAGGCCCCCTTTCCCCGCAACCCGCCCGCGCCGCGCCGGCCGCTCGAGTTGGAACAGCCTGTTGATAGTTGATGTTCGACCGGCCTCCAGGGCGCCCCCGATCGCGAGCTGACGGAACGTGTGCGGTTACCGCTATCCCTTTTTTTCATTTTTAAGGGTTCTTTTCACCCTTCTAGTTGTGGTGTTTTCTATGTGTTCAATTGACGGTTTTTCCAATTGATCTTCGGCGAGAGCGTTTATTTGAAAGGATTTTCTGACTCGATCTTCAGGATGGTCGTGCAGTACCTCCAGTATTCACCCCCCAGCGAAGTAAGATTTTCTGTTTTTTTCTTTCTTACCTTTTACGGTGATGGTTTCGTACGGTTCTAGTGAAATTTTTACCGCGAGACCACACTATCGCTGTTATTTCGTGACTGATTGAAAGTCGTTTTTGACCCCGACGTCCGGGGGTTTAGTTACGCGTTTTTATCATTGGATTTTAGTCGATTTGTTTATGTGTGTCCTTAAAATTTTATTCAGAAAAACAATATTTGGAATAAAAATTTGGATACCACTCGCTTGTTGCAATAATTTGGGTTTCATTAAAGGAAACTAGTTTCGCGACTAGGGAGTGCGTTGTGGGTAGGTGGGAGGGGTGTGGAATTGGAGGTAGCTTTTCACTCGTATTATTATATTGCGATCTCAATTTTTCCCCTCGCAAACCGAATTCGAAAAAAAAATCTTCGTTCTTTTCTCGGTTTTTCTAAGAATACGATAAGCGTGGGAGTCATCGCTGGGAATGAGACAGGTCGCCACAGGGGACCAAGCGACGATATCTGTGTCGCGACGAGATGGAAAGAGGTTAGGAAAACAGTGCATGAAAACACGCTAACTTCGTAAGGTATCCTTGTATTATTGTGGTAGCTTTCAAAAATTAAGAGATAGTACGCATGTTCGTAAAAATTTCGGCCGCATCCGGGTGGCATGTCGCGGCACACAGTAGAAAGAGTCAATGGGAAAACTCAGACTAAAGTTGGAAACTTTTAAGCTTGAATCTTTGTCAATATAGAACGATCAAGTTTAAAAGTGGTGCTACTGGTTTTCTCGAAAAATTTCTTCTCAGAAATAGCCCTTAAAATTGGAATTATGACGGAATACTCATCAAAATTCGAAAGTTTAGTCCAAAGTCTCATGTCCAAACTCTCCACTGTGCGGTGTAGGTGAGGGTGGAAGAGAAAGGCCACGAGTAGCCCTCCTCCTCCCCTTGTTCCTAAAACTAATGATCACGAGAAAAGCTCAATGGAAAGGAAGGGAAGAAGGAGAGAAAAAAGTGAAGGGCCGAACTTGCTTCTCAGAGAAATTATCATTGAAGAAAAGTTGGTTAAAACGGAGCTTTTTTTCTGAAAGCTCGCCTCACTACGAAAGAGGGCGACAGGTTGTTGCTGAGTGTCCCTTACCCAGAAGTATTTGCTCTTCTACCATTTGCTGTGTTGCTCCGACGGGTTTTTAGCGAAAATGAGCACGATTTCAGTTTTTCTAAGATTTCGCAAAAAAATTAACAGCCTCTCCAGGGTTACCATGAATGGGTTCGGGCCCCGACTCCAAACCCCTGCGTCCCCCGCCACAAGGGGCGGCAGTTCTCTCTGCAAAATTCCCAACTAATTAAGGTCAATCAGACTGTTTCTCCCGCCGGTTTGCAGGGGCGCTGGTGAACATGCCATCTTAAAAACTCTTGGCTCCTCAAAATATCCTTTTTCGAGAAAAAGATGTCAATAACATTTTCTTCGCGCTGAAATATCGGAGGCTCGAATTGACAGTCCGTTTACACTGAAAAACGAAACTCCAGCACCCGGAACTTCCGGTCTCTGAACCCGAGACGGACGGTATGCCTGTATAGCCGGCCGAAACTTTTTTTAGTGCAGAGAGTTTTTTCCGGTCCATGAAAGGAACAATATTTTCAGAAATACTTGCGGAACATAATTTTTGTCTCAGACTCACTGAGAAGTTGATAAGAGCATTTCCTTCTCAGTAAGCCACAAAAAAATTTTTCCACGAGTATTTTTGAAAAGTGTTTTGTTTTGTTTTGTTTTTTTTTTTTTCATTGACTCTAAGTAACTAAACGAGTGAACTGTCAACTCTAGCCTTGCCCCCAATCATAAGTGTCTTCATCAAATTGAGGGTTTCATACGCAGTCCTCTCAGAGGTACTCGAGAGACGATACTCGTGTTTTAGGCCTCTGGAGGTAGATAATAACTCTGCACGTCCCACCGGAGGGAGACAAAACGGTCAGTTTGAAATGGAAATCGAAAACGGAATGTACCGAGAGCGACGAGGGCTCAGCCAGTGGCGTGGCGTGCTTTGCGATGTATCGATTGATCTGCCTTTGAACCAATGGAAAAAGTCCATAAGCAGGGTGTTCGCAGTGAACACCTTGAAAATCGATTCTTTACCACAGTTTCAAATGGAGAAATATCGAAAATCGATCATTCACGCCTCGCCTGCGGTGCGGTGGTCCACCTCCCTGAACTTCGTCCGACCTGACAACCTGTTTTTATTTGACAAACAGACGTAATACCAGCAAGCGCGATGACATAATGGTCTCCCTTCCTCCCGAGATGGAGAGCACCTTAGTATTCGAATATCAAACCATTCCACGTTGATGCCTGGACACGAGGCATTCCCTTGGTACCAGCGCGGACAAAATCCCGATTTAGGTCCATTTTCAGCCGTTTGAAGAATATCGCTTGGAGTGTAAAAAAGTTGCGGCGCCAATGTTGCAAACATAGTTAAATCGACCCTTAAAAATATTGAGTGTTAAAGAGCTTCAAAAAAGCGCAAAAAGTGGTTAAATTAAACGAGCTAGGAAACCTATTTTATTTTAAATAAAATGTGTGCAAACTTTGTGTTAAATGAACGTTATAAATTAAATTGGACATTAAAATATTATTAAATTCTGGAAAATCACTCAATTGATGGTATACACAATACAAACTTCAAGATATATGACGTGTGAAACTAAAATTGTATATAAAAGTAGTGGTCTACGGCGCTACGTCTCCGGACCGCTTCGCGGTACAACCTCTCGAATCGCTTCGCGCCTCGGGCGTTACTCTTATGATTTAATATTAAAGAGTCAGATTTATGTTAAATAATGGTTAAATATGCTATAGTGAATGATAAAAAAATTAAAAAAATTTTAAAAAAAAATGTAAAAATGAAAATTAGCATTTCAATGCCGGTCCTACATTTTCGAGTAACAAACATCAGCCTCTATGAATGTAAAAATTTCATCTCCGTATTTATAAGGGGAAAAAAATAAAATTAAAGGAAACACGCAACGGTCAACGATGTAACATGAAAAAGCGTGATTTCTTGGTTTCACGATGGAGTGAACAATATTTAAAGGATGGGTTTGTTGACATTTGCACGACACACATCATTTTGCACGTTGGCAATACTATTTTCTGCCATTTAAATCCATTCATTATATCGATTTTAGGCGGGCCAATGCCTCACAAAGAATCGATTATTTTACATTCATTTAAATGGAGGAAAAACAGTATTGCCAACTTTCAACAATCACCATTGGTTATGAGGACGGGCTCGTTAATTTGGTTGGCCGACCACAGACGACACTGGCACATTGATTTCAATTACAGCTCATTATCCAACACAGATATCAATTAGGACTTAAATTTCGGGATATTAGTCGTACGAAAACAAGTGAAGATTTCCATGCCGCTTCAGGCTAGAAAATACACGAGTGACCTCATACAGCTCGACCATACAGGGAACGGAACACAACTGGCATTCAACTTTAATGATTGTCATAACTATCGGCACTTTATGGTCAAGCATGAGATAAGCTTTATGGTTATTTGTACGGATCTTTCTTCATTCTGGTCTTGAGCCACACATCGATCCGTCAACAAGTGGTATAGTGGATGCACCAGGAAAATGTCCAAAGCAGCAATGGCAGATCCAGGGGGAGATGGGCATTATGGTATGCTTCCCCCCTCGAGCCAAAAAAAGGAGGAAAGAAGGAAAATAGGGAGAAAGGGAGAAAAAAAAGTGCTCCTAAAAATTTACTGAAATGTTTCAAGACAAAATTGTATATTTTTTTTTGAGTGAATTTAATTTCAAGTCGTCTCCTTCTGAAATTATAGTTCTGAATATTTATAGGGGAAAAAATCATGTTTTTCAAGGATGTAATACTGTTGTATAAGTACCATCGCCAAAAGATAGTACTCTCATAGAGATAAGCTTGGCTATCCAAGACTGGTAATAGGGGAAATAACTGTTTCGGCAATTTTGAGAATGAATACAACTAAGTGTTCCAAGACCCAGATGAAAAAGTGATAATCGAAACATGAAAATCCTGATAAATTAGCTAATTATTGGATGCATCTCATTTGTTTTATTAACGTTTTTAGCAATTTGAATAGCTAAGGAAATTAAATTTATCAGTATCGAATTTTTCAGAAAAATGCTCATCTTCCTCCGTGTGAGTACCGTTACTAATACTAAAATAAATTTTAGTTCCCGATTACGCGGATTACACTTTGCAATAAGGAAACACAATTTCTGGCTCATTTTAGAAAGAACACATATATACCATTGATTTCCTGATGTAGATACGTGCTTTTATGTAAGATCCAAAGATAGTGGTTCCTTATTGCAAAATGTAACCCACACTGGAAAAAAAGTCGCTTGGATCTAGAGTTCAGACTCTTGAAAACAATGACAAGAAAAAATACTCTTGATTCAATCTGCTTTTTGCTTGAATCAAAAGGAAATCCGCTTAAACTAAGAGACTTGGTTCTCGATCCAAGCAAAAATCCGATTGAATCAAGAGTATTTTATCTTGTCGATGTTTTTACGAGTCTGGACTCTAGATCCAAGCGACTTTTTTCCCAGTGCACATATTCTTTGTAATCGACGACAAATATGTGAGAATCTAGGTTATTGTTTAGTGATTTGAAAGAGTATCTATTTGAGCCCTTGAACTTGTAACTAGAAGCCGGGTCAGGTTCGTTGATCCCGTCTCGGCGACGTAACTAACAAAATATCTGTCTCCGTATCAGCCTTTCACGCGGAAGTGGATTAATGAGACGCAACAACACTAATTGTGAATGGGCCAAAATAAAATAACTTAAGAAACTAAACAAATAAATCGCATATCGACGCGCCATCATTAGACTTCGAAAATCAAACTGCCCATTGTGACGATGCATTTATCATCACGAGTATAGTCGGACGCAGGCGTAGGATGTGGGACTCATTTGTGTTTCGATTTTGATATCGTCATGTATTGAACATGAATTTTAGAATAAACATTCGCGCGTTCGAGGTATCCTTGTAGTATAAACAACGAATTGAAGGCGCACTTTCCTTTAATGCTACCCGCTGTCTTAGCACCGCGGATGAAGCGGTGAGTGCCAACAGAGTCAAAACGCCTTCTTTTCCGTGCGTATGCAACACTGATATCCGTGGAGCCCGAATAGTTGCATCCAGCTGTTTATTACTTGTCGCGTGCGATATTGAGGGGGCTTTACTTACTTTTATTTGTTTCTCATACAAATTCATGTTATTCCAGCGTTACCTATTGTGCCGATGAAGTTAACTTTTACTAATTTTTCTTAAGACATCGTCAATTTTTCCAAAAATAAATTGTTTAAATGTGCTACAACGTTCCGGGTCCTCGAAATCACAAACATTTATAACCTTGGCTCGGTAAACTTTGCTAATATAGTTGTGTCATGAAAACATTTTAGTGAATTGTTATGAGCACTTTTTTTCTTTCGCTCCCCCCCCCCCAACCCCCGTGGATCCGCCACTGCTTACTGTCGGTCCAAGATTTTTTTTCACCTCCTTACTCCGTTAGCGTTACACCACTCACCGTATGTTCACTATATCGAGCGGTAATTTTTCCGTTAACAAATGTGTGTAGAAAATCGACGAGAGGAAAATAGCGGCAATTAATAATCAGTTGGACGTATTTCTATCAAACGGAACTATGTGCACTAAGCCATGAGCCCTGAGACCCATAAGAATACATGCATAACAGGGCTCACGTCATAATGCACAAAGTTCCGTTTGATAGAAATACGTCCAGTTCAATCACCATGGAGGACGATTAGCGGGTTAATGAATGGGACTTGCCGTTGAGCGTTACACCTAGCGGCCGTGATAGCGAAGAGAGCAGTAAGTGCATGCTGGGATGAGCCTCGAGACACCTGAAAGCATGTGCTGACCATGGCTCATACAGAAATGCACTTACTGCTGGCTTCGCTATCACGGCAGCTAGCCCCTTGCTTCGTGTCAGGTGAACAGCGCGTCGTTTTCGGGTGGGGGTGGGGGCGTGCGAGGGTGCGCCCGATGGAGTTAAACGGAGCCCCTCGAGTACCAACCTGCGACTTGTTGAACTTCCGGTTTCCGGGATCCATGAAAATTATAATCCGTCGCACACTAATCCAATTCCAGCAGTACGTGGAACCGAGGAAGACAATACCGTGAAAATTGAAATTAACGCTCAAAAAAATACAGATATTGATGGCCAAAGTGCAAAACCACATATCAGTGGCGTGCTTTGCAATCTATCGTACCGCATTTGAAGCTGTGGTAAGTAATCGATTATTAAGGTGTTTGCTGCGAACACCCTGATAATCGATCCTTTTTCGCAGGTTTAAATGAAAGATCGATCGATAGATCGCAAAGCACGCCACGCTACTGTTCGTTTGCGACGTTACAGACCTCTTGTCATACTTTACTTTTTTTTTAACCCAACGCAGTTTCTTTAGAATCTCCTTGAAGTTTTTTCGTTGTAAGTAGAATATTCTATATTAATTTCAAGCCATAAAGTTGGTTTTTTTATCTTCGAATAACTAAAATAGGAACGAAAATTTTGATATACTGCAATTCAACTACGTGGTTTCGCAAGTTAGTCATTAGTTTTGAATTATGACGATGTTCTTCACGATACCTTCAAAATATTGATGCAAACACCCCTATTCGACATCAAGTTCCACTTTACCTCATAAATGAAGGGTTAATAAGGGATAGCTTGTCGAGGATCAAGGGTGAAAACTATATTAAAACGAAAGGGACCTGTTCCCAACTTTTTCCAGAGAGATTTAAAAAGGACCCATGGAAAAAGGCACAAAAATCAAGACGAGCACCTCGGAAAATTCCTAAATTCACTCTGAAATGCTTGGAAAAATCAAACAGAAAAGGTACCTACTTTTCCGTAAATCATTCCCAAAACACACAAACCCGTTCACCAAACTCCTCAAAAAATTGTCCACTGAGCGACGAAGCCAAACTCGCAGCCAAAGGCACTTGTTCGTTACGAAAACGATTTTTAACTTCATTGAAATCTTTCCGTTACTGGAACAACTGTGCAACAGTTAGAGATCGCTCTTTGATAGCTTCACGGTTCGTTGAGCGTAGCAGGTTTTTTGAGGGTGGGAATTTAATTTTTACGATTTTGTATTATCACCTTGCGTGAGGATGCAGGGCGGTTAAAGGCTCACGTGGGCAGAAATTGCCATCTTCCAGGGTCAAATAATTAAAAGCTAATTGAACGGCTCAGGAAAAAAGCTGGCGGGAAACCCTCGCACCTGATCCGTTAAAGGACACGAGAATGAGGTGTAGTTGGCGGGCAGTGGAGGTTGGAGGTTGGAGATAATAATTCTCAAGTTAGACTCTTCGAAGTTAGCGCTGTACTCTGCTTGAGAGGGTCTCGATTCCGTCGACATGAATCGACCGATTCACGGGTTTGTCGATCGATTCACGGCGTTGTCAATTCATTCAAAGTATCGTCTATCACTTCACAGATGTGTCGGATCGATTCATGGGTTTGTCGATCTTCTCACAGAGTTTGTCGAGCAATTAACAGATTTGTCAATCGACTCAAGGGGTTTTGTCGAACCATTCACGGAATTTTGATCGATTTACGGAGTTGTCGATCGACTCACAGGTTTTATCGATTAATTCACGGATTTTTAATCGATTAATGGGGTGACCGATCGACTCACAAGTTTGGTAGATAGATTCACGGGTTTGTCAATCGATTCACGGGTTTGTCGATCGATTCACTGTTTTATCGAACCATTCACGGATTTTTGATCGATTTATAGAGTGGTCGATTGACTCACAGGTTCGGTAGATAGACTTACGAGTTTGTCAATCGATTCACGGGTTTGTCGATCGATTCACTGTTTTATCGAACCATTCACGGATTCTTAATCGATTTACAGAGTGGTCGATTGACTCACAGGTTTGGTAGATATAGATTCACAGGTTTGGTACATATAGATTCACGGGTTTGGTAGATATAGATTCACGGGCTTGTCGATCTATTCACTGTTTTATCGAACCATTCACGGATTTTTTATCGATTTACGAAGATTTCGATCGACTCACAGGTTTGGTAGATAAAGATTCACGGGTCTGTCGATCGATTCACGGGTTTGTCGATCGACTCACGTCCATCGGTTCAGGGTTCAATTGTTCGATGGATTCATGTCGTTTAATAATGTGGCGGTTCCCGTCGATTGATTCACGTCTTTAATGTTCGATCGATCCATGTCGATCGAATCCATACCCTCCTTCTGCTAGCCGAACGTCAAGATTTAATTCGTAAGTAAATCCGGACGCGAGGAGTGAGGACTCCGCCTCGCGGAATTTCCAACATAATGGCAGTAAAAATGCAGAGCACCTGAAATTATTTACCGAGTGACTCTTTCATACGGTCGCCGCACCGCGAGAGTTTGAATTAGTAATTGAGCGTATCGCAAAACCGGTCCGCGGCGGAAGATGCTCCGATATGCGACGACCTGTGTGAGTCGCACGTGCAGTGTCGCATCGCGGTCGAATGCTTTGATAAACAATAAAAAGCATGTAAAAAATATGTACTCCAGTACATTGTATCCCGAGTAAATGCGGGTAATGATATGGAGATCTTACCGCGATTTCAACTCATGAGACGGCGGGACGGTGTAGCGGTATACGCTCCACGTGAGCGGTACGGTCGAGGGAAAAAATCATTCGTCGGAAAGAAACACCTCTAAACAAAAGCATGCGTGAATATATGCGATTTGATAGACAATTGCACTGAAAAAAGTATGCCTCGAGCGGCAGTGATGAGTATGGTAATCACCATCAGACTTGGTGGTAGCAGATACTCTCTGACGGCATTCGCCAAAAGTAAGGTAAATTCTACCAGATGGCTGGTTATCCTCATTATATATCATCGCTGTGTCAAAAATCAAGTAGACTAATATTAGAATTTACCATACTTCTGGTAAACATTGCCTTTTTTTCGGTGGAATGTTGTTCATGGGTAGAGAACATCTACATAATAACATTAGTTTACATTACTAACAGGCTATTTTATATTTATGTAGTTTTTGCAAATTTTGATGAATGAGGTTTGCAACTAAAATATATTGCGAAATAAAAAAAAATATAACAATGTTGATATCGCACACAGCTTTTTGGCGCTTTAACGTCAAGTTTTTAAAAAAAATTAGGGGTATAATAAGTATGTAAAATCAAAAGCATGTTTTGTATTTGATATATTTTATACCTAGTGTTCTACATTTTGAGCACAATAATAAACGGTAAACTTGTGTAATGAACCTGAGGAACCACCGACAAATGTTGGTAAAGCACACACAAAATAAAAAAAAAAGTGGTACTCTCTATTTTTTTGGAATACCTATAATTTTAAAAATTAGAAGACCCTTTCAATAATGCAAAGAACGAACCTGGTGACAGGGTATTCCCGCCATCCATGGTCGGAGGGAAGAGAAGGAAAATGGAGAGGGAGTTTTTTCTCGCCCCATAATATAGGCCTGGCAATAAGCTTGACATTACAACACATGTACAACCTAATGGATACGTTTTACTTTATTTGTTTAGGAAACAATTAGACAGCCTAACTAACTTGATGCCTTTAAAAATTAAGCTAAAGCTCCTTCTCATTCCCATAGTTTCAGAATTTGGTGAATTTTAGGCAAAGTTAATACGTGTCCCATAGTGCGATATTTAAAATGTGTTATTTTCATGTTGTTTCAGAGCTCTGATGGAATCAAAACCGGCTCCTATCCGGATAATGAAGAATCCAAATCAAGCATTGTTTACTCAGAAAACATCATCGACAGCACAGTCAAAGATGTCAAACTGTCCCCGAAGCAGGAACAAGAGATGGTCAAATGCAGGTAAAAACCTTCGTATCACTACGATATTGCTCTTTCCCTTTATTCTAAATTTATCCATGCATGGGTTCACTTGTTTTGTAAGCTCATGGAAATCCCTTTTTAATTTGTGTCAAAAAATTTTCTGCGCGATAACCGAGGAACGCTGCGAGTGTTTCGATCTTATACATCTCAATTTTTGCAATAAAAGTTGCCGCCTTTGCTTGAGATACAGGGAAAGATCAAAGATCCATTAAAAAGGGACGTGATTCTTTTGATGTGATGGTTGCGTATTGGAAGGTTTTCTTCACCATCTGATTATTCTCTTCCCTCCATTGGCGGAGCCATCAAAATTGGCAACATTGTTTTTCTCCACTTAAACCTATGGAAATATATCGATTCTTGAAGAGGCCAGGTGGTCTGACGAGAATCGACTATTTAACATAGATTTAAATGGAGGAAACCTGGTGTTGCCAAATTGCTGGGTCCGCTTCTGCTTCCATTGCATTCTTAAAATGTCTTTAAATGTCTTTTAATTCTTAAATGTGTACGAGTATCGGAGTAACTTTGGTTTTTTCCAAACTTTTTACAGGTGGCTGGGCTGTGGAGGGTGGTTCACAAGCCTGGATCAGTTGGGCGCTCACGTGACCAGAGTTCATGCGGGTGCCGGTGAAGGCGGACTCTTCTACTGCGGTTGGGAGGGATGCTCCAGGGCTGAGAGAGGGTTTAACGCCAGGTAATAACGCCAAATCATTCAAAACACCTATACTGCCGTGCTAAGGAAAAACGCCGTATGAAAATTCAAGAGTTGCCAAATTTCCTTCGATAAAATGTTTATTTTCGAGGAACGCTATGGAATATTTTCCCTTGAAATTTTCAGGAATCTTATGTGATATTGCGAACAAAATTATCTGAAAAATTGGAAGAAAATTATTAACACATTTTACCAAAAATTCGTAATTTACTAAAGGAAATTTGGCAACGCCTGAAGGTTCATACGGCGTTTTTCCTTTCAAGGGCAGTGTATATCCGTCGCAGGCCAATAGTAAAATCAGGCACTTTGTCAGATGCCTATAGGCAAATAGCCAAATATTTTTACTTCGAATGAATTGCTGATTATTTTCCTGATATTCCATAATATCCACTGTGCGACGTGTTTCCAGCAACATTTCATGTATTATCTGCAGCTGAAATCTGATATTCCGATCACACGTTAAAATTTAATTCATTTATGCTATAGAATATCTAATTTCATGCGCATACTGTCGTAAAAATTTAATGCGAAGTATGACATTGTTTCAGGTACAAAATGCTAGTCCATGTGCGAACGCATACCAACGAAAAACCTCATCAGTGTTATCAATGTGATAAAAGTTTCAGTAGAGCAGAAAATCTCAAGATCCACGCGAGATCTCACACAGGTATGTGATCATTAATTGTCAAAAAAAAAGGGGAAAAAAAACTAGTCATGCGTTTTTGTCACTCTTGCGACGGTCTGTAATTCTGTAGTAAAACTAGGGGCCATAAAATTTCACAACGGACCGCAGAATATTCCGTACATATATTTATTTTAGGCCGTAAAGTTGGGGCGTTTTTCTTTGAAAAAATAAAATAGGGGCGGAAATTTGGGAACACCGCGGTGAAACTCACAATTTCTCAAATTGAATAATCCTTTCGAAAAGGGAATTATATATTGTTATTAAGCGATTTCTCGTCGTTTCTCGAACACAAGAGCCTAACTTCGTTCCATGGTTGCAATATTGACTCATAGAATTCAATTTTTCATAATAATATGACAGCGCAATTTTGCTGATTTTTGCATATAATCAGGAGTTACAGGTAAAATTTCAGTTTGAAAAACCCACCAGTTTTTTCTAATAAAAAATACAATTTTCGAGAGGAAATTTTGCAGTACTGAAATGGACCACATTTTGCAATAAGGAACCACTATTTCTAGCTCATTTTACAAATAATATATATGCAATTGGTTTTCCTATGAAGAAAGGTGCTTTTATGGAAGAGCCAGAGATAGTGGTTCCTTATTGCAAAATGTAATCCAAATGTAGCTACGTTTTTTCGTCTGAAAAATAGTGTGTTGAAGTATGAAGTTGAAGTTACCAATTAAAGTTCTGCCTTCTGCGTGTATGTTTCCGTTATTCCATCAACACATTTTAACAATGGCGATCCTCACTAATCTTCAAGAATTCGCAACTTTTTTTTGACCGAGCACTTAAATTTACAGGTGAAAGGCCGTACATTTGTCCGGTGCCGGGCTGCGGCAAGGCTTACTCCAATTCAAGCGATCGTTTCAAGCACACACGCACACATTCGGTGGATAAACCGTACATGTGTAAGGTGGCCGGCTGTCCGAAACGCTACACGGATCCAAGCTCGCTCCGAAAACATGTCAAAACTTACAGGCATTTTCCCAACCAACAGGCTAACCAATCCGGTAAGCTCCTTGATTGTTGTGTATTTGATAATCTGCAGAAGAATTGCCATGCAATGTCTCTAAAAATTGTGTTGAGCTCTCGACTTTTCTCAGGATCACGAAAGCTCCTTTTTTAAACCCACCTTTCTACCTCATTGAGAGACACAAAAACAGGTCCGAGGTCCGAGGTCCCGCAACATCAAAAAAAAATAATTATCCTGTCAACAGGTCAATATCAAGTTTCATGAAAGAAGATTTTAAATCGGTAAAATCAAAAGGAAATACTCATTTTAATTTTTTTCCTGTATACATTTTCAACTTTTTGAGGGAAATTTGCTGTATCCCCTGATATTAACTGGACCACCGGTGAACTTCACTTTCAAACGTATAAATGTTAATGTAAAAATATTACACGTAAAGATCCCAGCATTTTCCAAACCAATAACATTATCATTCGGAGTTTTTTTTTATCATATATCAAGTTCGTACATTCATTTTTACAATATATAGGTATTACAAAATGATCCTCCTTCAACTCATCGGTAATATGCATTGACTGGAAAGAATATCTCTTTAGGTTGCATTGATCTGAATGATCCTTTCCCTCAGAATCCTAAACATCTGTTAGAAAAAAAAAGCACGTGATTGAAAATGAAGATCTAAGGAAAATATAATTTGTTAGCCGCAATGGTTTATTCTCGATTCCAACCTCCTTCTCACACGCCACTAACCTAAACGCGCAAGAAACGCCTTCAAAATTGGGGATACTTCCCAACACCACAAGCACGTTCGAATAGTTGTATCACAGCATAACCCAAGTGTGAGTAACTGCGGGATCGTGATAGTCGCTTTGTTCCTGAGGTGTTCATTGTCCTCCCTCTCCCCCCTCTTCCTCTCCCTCCCCTCCTCTTTCTTGTGTTAACTTTAGCATCGAATCGTACTTGTAGGACCTCCTATGGAATATAGATTCTTACGTAGGTAATTGCTGAAAGAATTCCAAGTGGAGGATAAGTAAGAGATTTTTTGGGCTCGCGAACGATCTCTCTGTGGTAACATGACAAGGGCATCTAATATACTGGTGAATCGAAAGAGGGGGAGGGCATGGTGGCATGCCCTCCTCTTTGGGCCAAAAAAGGAGAGAAAGAAGGAAAAAAGGGGAAAGGGGGGAAAATAGGGAGGAGTAAAAAGTGCGCCTTAAACTTTACAGAAATGGTTTCAAGGATGGTTTCAATAATATCGCAGAAATAAATACCTAGTCCATGTACTAAAATAAACTTACGCTAAAAGGGATATTATTCGTCAATTTTCAACTTTCAAGTGGACGTATCTCTATCAAACAGAACTATGTGCAGTTGAGAAATATGGGGTGTGCTCTAGAAAGCTGCATAAAAAAACAATGTAAAAGAGGGCGTGATTCCTTTTGGAGAATTGAAAAAGCGGGATATTACATTCTTTCAAACAGACCTATGTGTCAACTGAATGCGGGACTCATGAGCCGCGGGCATGGCAAGAGAGCGTTGTGGACAGGGCTCATGAGTTAAAGCGCCCCGACGATGATCTCCGTCTCGCGGCCGCGGCTCCATCATTGCCGCTGACGTCACTGGCGCTTTATTATTCTCATTCACTCTTACGCAAAGAGAACTAACGAGCACACCCCATATTTCTCACCTCCACGTAGGTCTGTTTGGTAGAAATACGTCCAAGTAATGCACACATTGAATGCTAAAACTGCCTGAAATTCAATCTGGGAGGTCCCATTTTTTTGACGTGTTCAAGGGGAGGCCCCGCAGACCCCCTTACTCTGGGGGGTGTCCCCAGACCCCCCACTCGACATCAGCTAATGGCCCCCTCCGACTCACTCTGGGTTCGCCACTGATCTTATAACCCCAGCACTTAGAACAGAAAGTTCACCAATATCGTTTTTCTATGATTTCAGAGACTGAACCTACCGTCACGGAGAAACTAGACTCCGTAATCAAGACTGCCATCACTCCGCTGAACCAAAGGCTCTCCTCCATGGAGATCGAGCCCCGGGCGGAAACCTCCATGAAGAGCGTTCGCCTGGAGGCGCCCACCTCACCGAAGCACGGAGCCCACCCCGAGCCGAACCTCATGTCGACCTGGCCCCGATGTTACCAGTCCTGGTTCCCGATCAACGACGTGGCCAGCGCCCATCCGTGGAGCATAACGCCTCAGTGGAACCAGGCCCACGTCCACTACGAAACGGCCAGGCATAACCAAGCCTTTGATCTCAGTATGCGGAGCAAGCTAGAGGAGCAGGATAAACCCTTGGATCTCACCGTCAAATGACCGGACCCGTGATATAATTTTTTTTTTTGTCGGCCATTACCTTGTTTGTCTGTCTTTTCTTTGAGAATACCGTCCGGTCCACGATTTGATAAGCGTGAAAGTGACCGGTAGCCCATTTATTTTTTTCTTTTTAGAGATGTAAAAAGTTGGTTTTAAGGCGGCTACCATTTTTGACCTGCACGTCTTATTGTCATGGCACTGGTTCGTGTAAATTGCTGGGATGTCCCAAATCGTTATTAATAAGTTTGACAGTCTCTCTGTGGAATTGCGTCCTACGTCTTGATTCGTTAGACGTGAGAATAACCACTGAGACACTCTCTGGTAGGAAACTGCTGGAAAATATATTTAGGCACAAGGGCATTATGCTTCTTCTGAACTTTCAACTTTTTTTTTTCTTTTCACTGGTCGTAGGACGAATTTTTTTAAGAAAAATTGCAATCATGCTCGGAACCAAGCTGTGTTAAAATACTAATGTTCTCGTTGAGAAGGACGTTTCAAAACTCCCACATAGCTGTTATTCAGCGTACTAGGTATGTTTTTTTCTTCTTTTTTTTCATCATGAAAAACCTAAGGTTAGTCAGCGCATTTGTGTTTTCCATTAATCATTTTTTCACCAGTGAATATCCATCTGTAATTACGTCTTATGTTATATCCGTATTTTAAATGAAATGTCCGGTGATTAAACTATTAATGTTTAGAAACTTCTGTTTTCAAATTTGGCGAGTACAAATGGGTATATTCAAGCTAAAGGGAACCAAGTGACACTGTGTATGAACCAAGTGACACCAATAATATTAAAAAAAAAAAAAAATAAAAAAAAACCAATTAGTACTCAAGGAGACTTGAAGTTTGCCTCCCGGCCCTTATGGATTATTGGAATTCCCAGCGTACTTTTCTCCGTTTCAAGTCAATGTCACTTAGTTCCTTTCAGTTTCTGGTAACCACTACCCATATATTTGTGATTTTTCGCCCTATTATTCTGGTAATTAATAATGGTTTCCTGCATTTATGCAATATGTAATTGTGCCGTCTCTGTAATGTACATTTCATCATTCACTCCTGATGCCCCCCCCCCACCCGCATTGACCAGTGGAATTTTTGCTTTTGAAAACCAAAGATACATTTTATGTTTGATTAGTCAATCAATAAATGAGAGGGTTGGTGTGAACATATTTTTACGAAAAACAATGAATGTAGCAATTGCGGTCAAACAATGAAATGCATTGTTGGATTATCTCAGATGGTTGCTCATATTTTCTTGTAGAAAACCACGTGAGCGTACATTTACGCATGAGAACATTACTCATTCTAAACAAAATTGTTTATTGTTTTTCTTCATTTATTTGTTTTTTTTTTTTTTTTTTTTTTTTAAAAAAAAAAAAAGGAGTTTGCTCATACTTTCTAACTCGATGCGGCAGAGGAAATGTCCCCCTCTCCTTCCTGCACAAGAAGTTTATATTAAGGATCCTATTCGTTCCTCTTTTCTTAGGAAATAAGTTTCTAATACCTCAATTACTTGAATCTTTTTTATACGTACAGTATTTTTTTGCATTTCATGAAAGACAAGAAAAACGTTTCTCAGTATGTTGGAGTTTCTTAGCCGAAATTCAGCATAAAGCTGAAAATCTCAATACAACGTCGTGTAAAACGTTTCTGTTATCACACACACTGTATCCTTCACATCTCTCTGTTTACAAAATTAAATCCCTGTATCCAGGTACATGGAAACGTGAGATGCCTTTCTTAATTTGTGCACTTATACTCTAGAGATAATAAATGCAAAACATAAATGATAGTATCGATAAAGAGTCGGCAATAATGCAAAATTAATTCTATCAAGATTTTACATTAACCCTTTGTTTAACTTTATCTATCATCTACCTAATTTTTTATTACCTGTAAGATATTTCTGAAATCTCATCCATTTTGAGTGTTGTAGTCATTAGTTTTAACTTTTTTATGATAATAAATTTATATTTGTGCTACAGTACAACATACGGATACTTTTTCTATGTTTGAGACCCTACAAAGTTTTGACAGGAATGTTTCCTGCACTCAACAATGCATTGCCCTTTCTATATATTCAAATGTGATCATTTTCTATGATGTAAGTAACTTAACTAATGAGCACTGTTCACAAGATACTATCATGTATCGTGAGGCCGTCAACAACAACGGTTAGAGAGAGAAAACCATGGCTAAAAGAAGAATACCGCTTAACTTGACAATTCAGCGCCTTTGCAGCATTTTATAGTACAAAATACGCAAGCTGATAGTTTTGATTTTTCCCAATTCTGCATGGGAGCGCCGAAATGCCTTATTCTTTGATATATAAAAAATTTCAAATCTATTAACAAAATTACAAAAATGACGAAGATTTTTTACAAAATCTTCCCCTGGTAAAAATTAGCGATAGGAGCTGCGTTTCAAAATACCATAGGCGTTCCTATAGCCGACTAAAGAAAGCTATTGAAAATCATATAGCTGGCTGTAGAAAGCGGACCAAATCATATAGCCGCGCTAAACAAAGCTATAAAAAAGTGTACAGTCGGGCTATAGTTCCTATTGCCGGGCTTTATACTTTATCGCCATTGGCTATAAAAGGCTATAAGAGAGTGTGTAGAAATTCGTGTGCTTTGGAAATCATTAAGTTTGATACGGAGCTACCTTAATATTTACAGAACACACATTATATTTTCCTTTAAAACTTTTTTTTTCATCAATTAAAATGAAAATAATCCGTACATAGTGTGCAAACATTTCAAAATCATGAGTTGAAAAACGCTGACTCCGCAAGATTAATTATTAGAGCCCAACACAAAGCGGAGCGGTGACACACTGGCGCCTACAAACCTAACAGGGATACTTCACGCATTGCGCAATGCGTGAAGTATCCTTGTTAGGTTTGTAGGCGCCAATGCGCGTTCCGCGATCTCTGCCCGCCCGCCGCGCCGCAGCGTGCCACGGCGTCTGAAGCAACTATTTCACACTAGAGGTATTGCACAGTATCATACAAAATTGAAGGCGCTGCAACATATTAAGAATGACTCGCATCCTTCAAAAGTACGGAGCATTCCTCGCAAAATAAATCAAGATACTACGGCACAAAAAGAGAGCGGTAGTCCAAAAACTAACTAAGTCCTAGTATCCGTAATTAGTAACGTTTAGCATAAACTTTATCGTCTGGCTGTTGCTTAGTCGCCATCGGCTATTAAAGGCTAAAAGCAATTGTACAGCAGGCTACAGAAGGTATTGGAAATCTTACAGCCGGCTTTAGGTCTATGGTATTTTGGAACACAGATTCTACTGCCAATTTTTTCCAGGGTAGTTTGCAGATAGGCGGTATTCTTGCTCAGCCATTGAAGTTCAAATAAAATAGTGTATATTTTCCCTCAAGAGTAGATATCAAGATTAAGTATTTTGCGTAAATTTATCTCAACCGGCTTTCAGGATTCCTCTTATCGGAATAATTAGGGATTTCATAGAGGAATGAGGTGGCTAACATCATAAAGAAGACAAAATGATTTGTCATTTTAGGGAAAGCTTGTCACAGTGCAAACTTCATGAAAAATAAAACTATTTTACTTATTTTTCCCATCTGTTATCGAGCCAATCGTTGACGTGTGTCGTAAGCTTCCACGTAGTGTGGTGACTTAAACCACGTTTTTCAGGGAGTCACATACTTTCAATTATTAATTAACTCATCCGTGATAACCTTCATTTGCACTGAGAGCCCAAATCCGAAGATACAAGTTTTTATTTTATATTTTTTAGTAGAAACTCTTAAGAGAGTGCTCTGAAGGGACATCCGTGGTTCAGGACGGATGCGATCCCTCGTATTGTGGGCGAAACTATGAGGAGGTCGGGCCTGAGAGACCCTCCACTCGTATCTCGACTGTGGTGGAAGCTTTTACTTCCGGTACATCAACATTAAACTGTTGACTTACCGACATGATTGATGTTTAGCAACGTGTTGGCAGTTTCGTTTTGCAACTAAGCCGAAGTTTGGAAATCTTGTTTAGCTCATAACGTCACCCGAAGCTCATCATCCAAAATGCTGGTAGGTCATAGGCCGAAAAAAGAGTGATGACTGTTGCTCCCTCATAATTGTCCATAAGGCATTGTTGAATCCCCAAAAGTAAAAGCTTCCACCTGTCACCAAGAGGCCAGTGGAGGGTCTCTTGTCTCTGGTGATCCTCCTCAGACCCTTCTCAGATTATTCTTGATAAGGTGCCCTTCTGGTCCCCCTTCAAAATGTTCCTGGTTTCGCGCTCGAATTTTGATTATCACAGCCATTCGTTCAATTCAAGTACCTATCACCACTATTTTGTCTCAGATAAACAGTGGACATAGAGCGTTGTCGATTGCGATGAGAAGCGATGAGGTGTAAGATGAACATGGCGACAGGCAACAGGGTCAAACACACGAAGATGATGTCAGAGGCCGTGACGATATTGACGTCCGTGAGGTACTTGTCTTTGAAACCGGGCCGAGGAGTCGCCCGATTCATGACCTGAGCATTCTGGGCCTGGAACTTGGTAAGTCGGATCAGGTGCGGCTTGGTGCAGTAGGTGTTCTCAGCCTCTAAGAGGGTGAAGTTGGAGCCACTGTTGTTCGTTTCGCTACAAATCCAGTCCAGGTCCGCGTCGCAGGCCAAAGGGTTGTAACTGATGTCCAAGCGTAGGGTGTGCACCACATTTAAGGCGAAGTCGTCCGCGCGTAATGTTTTAAGGCCCGTTCTCTGCAGACTGAAAAAGTGTAAAGAGGAATGATGATAAATTAGAAGAGAAATCGATCGTTCATTGGCGAATCCAGCAAAATTGGCAACATTTTTTTTCTCCATTTAAACCTATGAAAATGTATCGATTCTTGAAGGGGCCAGGTGGTCCGACAAGAATCGATTATTTAACGTAGATTTAAATGGAGGGAACCCGGTGTTGCCAAATTGCTGGGTCCGCTTCTGTGATCGTTTGAGAGACATTTGAAGCGGTCATTCTCAAAAAGACTTCGAATCGAATCGAAGTCGATTGACTGCAGTTTTTGACAGGCCAGGGTGGGCCTGGTGGTTTCCAGTCATGGTGATGGGTCTTATTGATGGATGAAAGCTGTGTGGCTCCATTCATTTAAAAAACAATTAAATTCGCCAAAAATGCACTGTATAGTAATAGTAAAGTAAAGAGCAAACGAGAAATTTGGACTCACCTGATAGTCCGCAAGTTTGGGAAACACACAAAAAACGGTCGTATTAGTTCAACTAAATCTGGACTGTCATCTAAGCTTAGGATTTTGATATATTTCTTGTCCTGAAGCGTCGCTCTCTGAGAAACCGCTGGTTCAATCTTTTTCGATAGCGCAATATTGTGTAGTCGAAGTACTTCCAGCTTGTCAAGGGGCCGGATGAAATGAATATCCTTCAATTTGTAGTGATCTGTGAATGCAAATACACCATAGTTTTTAACGAAAGTGCAGGAATAGATATTACTCTTCTGTCTTCACTCGATTTTTTTTTATTCGTAATTTTCTGTTTTAATTGTTTTCATTGTTTTTATAGAAATAATTTGGACTGTATTTTACAATTGGGAACTACAATTTCTGCTTCATACATGAAAACGCGTATCCTCTTAGGAAATCCTAATTGCACATATGTTGTATCTATAATGAGCCGAAAATTGTAGTTTCTAATTGCAAATGGAGGGTTCATTTGAACGTATATGAGTCAAAAGAAACTATATGTTGCACCAAAACCCTAGACTCATAGTTCCTGTTAGTATCCTGTTAGTATGGATACTTCAATTTGACTTTTAAAAACATGAGATTCCCTCAGGGTAGCTCGCTCTTCTTGAATAAAGCAATTTGCATTTCGCAGGCTTACCTAAATTCAACTCGACTAGAGACCTCAGTTTTTCAAGATCTTTAGCCGTCCTGTCGGTGAGATCAGTATTATCATCATTCCGTTTAGCGGAGAGCGTAAGATTCTGTAAGCGCATCAAGGCGGATAAATCACTCGATAATTCAGTCGGTAGCTGTGGGCCTTCGTCCCCAATGCACAAAGTTTTGATGTTCGCAAACGATACTCTCCTGAAAACTTTCGAATTTCGCAAATAATTCCCGCATAAATTTAAGTACGATAGCTTCTCCTGCAAATAAAATTTCTCTGATTGGTCACTGTTGTAATAGAGACTATCGTCGACCCTAAAATTATCCTATATGCAGTAAAACTCAACGATGTTTCTCGGACTCATATCGATGACGATGATCTATTAAGCTCGGACGAATTAGGAAAAATTCGTTTCAATTTAGAATTTTTATCGGAGAAAACGGTTAATTATCCTGAGGAAAAAGTAGAACTTATGAACAAATTCTTGGAAGTACTAAATGAATTTCAACTTTGAAAAACTTCGTGTGAAAAAATAAACCTGCAGACTATTTATCACATTGACAGTCGACACTCTTTTGCGCAAAACGCGATGGATATGGTTTTTACCAAAACTTAAAAATCCGAATAAAATCAATATTTTTCTTTTATATTTATTTCTCGAATTTTACCGGAAGAATGATGTCCATTGAAGACGTCGTTTGATAACAAAGGTTGTTCGATAGGTCCAAGTGGTTCAGACTTGGAGGTAACTCATGAGGCACGGAAGTGAGTTTATTGTCGCTTAAAACCAATTTTTCTAATTTCCGAAGATGTTTGAACGCATCAGGACTTAACTTGGTGATCTCGTTGTGATCCAAATAAATCTCTCGAAGTGCTAGATTATACCTGTTTAAAAAAATTAGTATTATCAGGGAGTTTTATAGATAAGTAACTCAAGATTAGTGAAAATCTCCTTATCCAGGAAATTTTGGTGAACTTGCTTAGTTGCTAATCTTTTTAGCTTTCAGACGAGGAGGTGTCCTCAACTATTTATTTATTTATTTTTTAAAATTGTAATGTGTGTTTATGTATGTTTATTCACAACGCTATGAATTTCTTGTCACACTTAGTTCTTATGAGAGAAATCCATCAATATAATTTCTTTATATTTTTTGTATTTTTTCTGTGCCTTAAGAGAAATAATACTCAAAAAATATGTTTTTTTTAAACGTCAATCACTTTTGCGTTACACAAAACATGAGTGGACAGTAGTGCTCGTTGATAAATATGTGTCATTATTTCAGCAGTTTTCCAAAGTCTCATTTTGTGTCATAAATATTTTTCGATGGCGGAAGTAGAAAAAAATACGTATCTCCTTCGCAGCTTTCCAAAATCTACAATTATGTTTCGATTCTCAATTTTAAAATAGATCAAAATGAGTGGAGGTTTACAACATTACAGTTTCAGGTATGCATTTTCCGACTTCAGCCATCGATAGGTACACAGAGAGATCTATCAGGAGGATGTCTATGATATTTCGGTGAGCGGCGGGAAAAATTCTCTGCATGAGCTCTTATCTGTTTGAACTATGATTTATTGATACCACCAAGTGTTTATGAGGGGCACCACTCTTAGTTTTCTTCCTTCTGTTATCGACGTATGAACGGAATGGCACCTACTGGAATTGGGGAATAGCGTGTACACTTCAGGGGCTATGATACAACTATTGCTACTCTCCCGAGCGAAATTGCGGCTCGCTCATTTGAAGGCGTTTTTTGCCGTGGCCGTGTGTGTTGATCCTCTCACTTCTAACGATTGAGGTCTTATCCTCAGGAAATTTGTGATGTATCCGCGGTATGAATATAGATGTTACCTTCACGATACTAAGTAATAACATCGGTGCCTTCGAGAACCTTTTTAGCTATGGGCTTGCCAGGCACAGTGTGAATTATTTAGGTGTTTCATCACGCGGGCTTTAATTAATGATGATCATAACTGTATTGCTCGAGTACTGTCTCTCAAGGTAAATACGTATTAGTTATTGTGTTTTGTGGCTCTTCGCTGAATATATACTCCGTTTTTTGACGCTGACAACTGAACAATGAATGTTATTTTTTTATTTTATTCATTCACACTAATTGATTTATTTCAAACTATTTCTTATCATTACTTAAACGTCGTAAAAGAACATTTATCAATTTTATTCAAAATACTTGTATCATTAATGTGTTAATGGATAAGTCTTTTAATTCGTGAATTCGTTTGTCAATAAGTCATTTATGACGCAGACTGAAAAATATGGTAAATGATTAATATTTACCCCTTCTCCCTGAAAATACTATGGATCGTCCGCGACTATTGACTTCCGTCTAGTTTCTAGGTCTTCCCGAAAACTTACCTAAAAGTATCAGTTTTTATATACTTGATTTTATTATGCGAGAAACTAAAGATCTTAGCCCCCGGGATTTGCCGCAGAGCTGGGAACAGTCCAGCACCAATGACCTTTTCCCCTGGTACATGGAAAGGCCCTGTTATGTCCTCCAGCTCACCATTCACCAGTTTCAATTTTTTAGCGTCCTTCGCCAGGGTCAGATATTTTGGATCTAGTTTTTCTGGCCAATGAGAAATCTGAAAAAGTGATATAGTGTATAAAGTGTCAAGTTCCCTCTTATCTTACTCTAGGATATATGATCACAAGAGTAACGCATAACACTTAACGCATAACGTATAACGTATAACGCTCAACGCCTGAGGTGAGAAGCTCTTCGGGGGTTGGATGGGAGGCGCAGTCCTCTAGCACCATGAAGAACAAATTTCGTTTAAGCCTTTTTATAAACTTACCTTCAGATAGATGGACTCCTTACTACATCCAAGCAATGTTAGGAAATAAGGTGAGGAAAACCCAGATCAATGTTACGAAAAAAAATTCAATTGAATATATTATTTTATTTCAATATCAACAATAATGTTATCTTAAAAACGTGAAAGGTACATACGTTAGGCTACGTGTTCAAAGGCGCTTACAAAATATGTCTTCATTAAATTATATTTAAATATGAAAATTCCAAGGACAAACTTTTGGGTCTTAACTGAAATCAAGCCTAATCAAAGTTCCATTGAAGTGGTTGGTTGCTGGGTATACGACGCGACCCTTTATTTTTCCTTCAACCCTCTTCGTTGCGAGGTTGATACCCGTCTTATCAGGGATGTCGACCACAACCCACCCCCTTTTTCTACACTGAAAAAAATCATTGAGGTTTCATCAAGAGCAAGTCCCACCATGTGGAGAAAATTATGTATCAACGTAACAGAGTGGTACCAACCTGGAAGCATCCACTGGAAATGGAACAATTAAGAAGGGGGGATGGTATGGCAGAAGCTGGAAGGTGGTTGGGCTTAAGAGAAGGGTTCTAACCTCAAGATTTATCAAAGCCAATGATGACATGGAATATATGGACTGCATTTTGGAATTTGGAACGATAAATTCTGGTTCTTCTGGAGAAACACTTATGTGCGTTGGGAAACTAATGGCACATACGTTGTTTTTTAACTAGGCTAGAATTTATAGTTTCGAATTGCAAAATGTAGTCCATATATTCTGTGACTGAGATCTTGTTTCTGCTTGGGTGTACCGAACCTGTCATTCCTGTATAAGTTTTTTACTTGCTCTTTATCACCCTAACATCATATCCAACCCAGGAGTCTCAACTATATCAGCTCCTGCAACCATCCTCGACTACTATCTCTTGTCCCTAGCCTGTTCAAGTCGGTGATAATTGTATACGAACTCCGGCACCATATACATCTTATAGAACTCCTCCAGCTTGACGGTCATCTTCTTCCATAGCTCCGGGTCGAAGTCTATCGTCTCGCTAAGGAATCCCCGCGGAGTCCAGAGGACGAAGACCCCCTTCTTCCGCCCGGAAATGCCCAACTCGCCTTGGACTTGATAGTAGTAGAAGTGGTCGCGGTTCAACCGGACCTGATTCTTTTCCTCATCGAGCGTGCAGCAGTATAAGTCGTCCTTTTTGATGACAGCGGTGAGATTGGCGTTGCGGAGGAAGAAAGGGCACTTGATCTCCAGAAGGGTGTCATTCCCGATGAGTCCGTCGGGGGATGCGGCCAAAAAGCCCCGCTCCAGGTCTACAATCAGTCCTGAACGATCAACTTTGACGTTGTAGCGTTGGGCGTAGTCGTCGGCTGCACGGCGTTCCCGTTCGCGCCCCCAATCTAGCGCCTTGCGTTTCCAGGTGGTGTTCTGCGAGTTCGAGTACAGGAGGAAGTGGAGCAACTTCTCCGTCGTGCCCGTCCAGTTGTAAACTGCGCCGAAGCCGGATGCTGTGAGCCGGAACTTCCGTTCCTCGTGCCACCTCTCCGAACCGTGTCCCTCGATCGTCGCATCGAAGATCTCCTTCTGCTTCGCCTTGTCCACTTGCAGTTTCGCTACAAATTGCTCTACGACCGAGTCGAATCTGGCTGCCGCCCCTAGCATCGGCAAGAGAGAATATTTGAACCTGTGGCTGGTCCATGACTTTAGATCCCTCACATTTTCGTCAAAGTTATACTCAGCCAGTGGTGCTATCTCACTCTCTACTGGTATTATTGGTTCAACGAAAGGAGAGTTTTTATCTCGGACATGCTTTGAGAAGTCCTCTCGGCTCGAATCTTTTTGATTTGAGTTGTCGAAGTCCTTCGTAAGTGACCTCCTCGAGGTCTCTCCATCTTGAAGACTGCCTCCTTTTTGTAATAGTAGGTCCTTCTCAAAAGTACCCTCAGATGTTTGAAACACCCAATTTTCATCATTTCTGTATGAATTCCCGCCTAATGGTGGCGAGTCAGGCTTCAATCTTTTCTCTAGTAATCCGTTACCTGAGCTTTTGAATTCTCCTGGAAATCTGATCGATGATTTACACACAAGTAAAACTAGGCTGTCCGGTAAATTGGTGACCGATTTTAGGAAGTAATTGTAATCACTTTGCCTCGCAATTATGAGCCATACCGGTGGTGATTTTATGCTTGTCTGATCCTCTAAATCTTGGGTATCTTCAAAACCTGAAGTTCTCAGTGTATTTAATCGATTGAACTCAGCCCAGTCCTGGAAAGACAAAAAATCAGGTATGGAATAGACTCGCTCTTCGTGTGTGGCCCAGTTATGTCTTCCAGCTCACAGTTCACCAGTTTTAATTTTTCGGCGTCCTTCGCCATTGTCAGATATTATGGATGTAGTTTATTGGATATCTGGAAAATAGAGCTGACAAACGCTGATGTGTCTCAAAAGTTCCGGCGTATCTTACTCTATGATATGTAATCATGAGAGTAACGCGTAACGCATAACGTCCGATGCGAGAAACGCCTCACGGGTTGGGATCAAAAACCGGTCAGGGGGTGTAGCCGTAGCCCCCTGGTATCATACGGAAACCAATTACCAATTTCGTTCAAGTCTACCTATGAATTTACTTTCAGGTAAGTGGTATCCTTACAACTTCTTAACGAAGTTTTGGGAGATGAGTTGAAGGAAACATAGATCAATATCACGAAGTAAAAATAACTCTCTTTTTCATTTGAATTCATTATTTTATTTCAATATCTACAATAATGCTAACTTGCAAACTAGAATAAAGACATATGAGTTTGGCTAAGTCTTTAATTGCGGTAACATAATGTATCACAACGAAACGACATTTAAATAATCAAATTCTAAGGAAAAGTTTCTGGCCTTAACTGAAAGCAAGCCCAAGAAAAGTTCCCTGGTAAAAATTGGCGATAGGAGCTGCGTTTCAAAATACCATAGGAGTTCTTATAGCCGACTCAAGAAGGCTATTGAAAATCATATAGCTGGCTGTAGAAAGCGGAGCAAATCATGTAGCCGGCCTATACGAAGCTATAAAAAATTATACATTCGGGCTATAGTTCCTATCGCCGGGCTTTACACTTTATCGTCATTGGCTATAAAAGGCTATAAGAAATTGTGTATAAATTCGTGTGCTTTGGAAATTATTAAGTTTGATACGGAACTACCTTAATATTTACAAAACACACATTATATTTTCCTTCAAAACATATTTTTTTTTTATCAATTAAAATGAGAATTATCTATACAAAGTGTGCAAACATTTCAAAATCATGAGTTGAAAACGCTGACTCCGGAAGATTAAATATTAGAGCCTAACACAAAGCGGAGCGGCAACGCACTGGCGCCTACAAACCTAACAGGGATACTTCACGCATTGCGCAATGCGTGAAGTATCCCTGTTAGGTTTGTAGGCACCAATCCGCGTTTCGCGCTGGCTGCCCGCCCGCCGCGCCGCGCCGCAGCGTACCACGGCGCTTGAAGCAACTATTTCACACCAGAGGTATTGCAGAGTATCATACGAAATTGAAGGCGCTCCAACCTATTAGGAATGACAAGCATCCTTCAAAAGTACGGAATATTCCTCGCAAAATAAATCAAGATACTACGGCACAAAAAGAGAGCGGTGGTCCAAAAACTAACTAAGTCCTAGTATCCGTATTTAGTAACGTTCAGCATAAACTTTATCGGCCTGCTGTTGCTTAGTCGCCATCGGCTACAAAAAGCTAAAATAAATTGTACAGCCGGCTACAAAAGCTATTAGAAGTCTTACAGCCAGCTTTAGGTCTATGGTATTTTGGAACACAGATTCTACTGCCAATTTTTAACAGGGTTTTATTGAAGCGATTGGTTGCTACGACAAGACGTTTTCTTTTTCTTACAATCCTCCTCCTTGCAAGGTTAATACTCGGCTTACCAGAGATATCAACTACAGGAACCCTCCCCCCCTATTTCCCAACTAAAAAGTCATAGAGGTTTCCTCAAGAGCAATTTCCACCTTGTTGGGGAAAATATGTAACAACGTAACGGTGTAGTACCGACCCGGAGGCACCACTGGAAATGAAACAACCAAAAAAGGGAGAGTTGCAGAAGCTGGAAGGTGGATGGGCTTGGGAGAGAAGAGTTTTCACCTGCAGATTAATAAAATACAAAGATGTCAGGGATCACGCTTTTTCTTGGTTCTATCGACCCTGTCTCGGCTGCTCAAGATTTTACCAGCTCCTTGTAACCCTACAACCACCGATGATTCTCAACTGGAAAGGTTCTTGCAACCATCCCTTAAAACCGCCGTTGGCTGCTGAATTGCTCAAAGCGATTATAATTGTAAACGAACTCCGGCACCATATACGTTTTATAGAACTCCTCCAGCTTGACAGTCATGTTCTTCCATAGCTCTGGGTCGAAGTCTATCGTCTCGGTGAGGAATCCACGTTGAGCCCACAGGATGAACACACCTTTATGTCGCCCCGAGATGCCCATCTCGCCTTGCAGCTGATAGTAGTAGTAGTGGTTGCGGTTCAACCGGACCTGATTCTTTTCCTTATCGAGCGTGCAGCAGTACAAATCATTATCTTTGATGAGGGCGGTAAGATTGACATTGCGAAGGAAGTAAGGGCACTTGATCTCCAGGAGGGTGTCGTTCCCGATGAGTCCGTCGGGGGAGGCGGCCAAGAAGCCCCGCTCCAAGTCCACGATAAGTCCCGAGCGATCGACTGTAACGTTGTAGAGTCGTGCGTAGTCGTCGGCCGCAAGGCGCTCCTGTTCTTGACCCCAGTTCAGCGCCGCTCGTTTCTTGGTGGTGTTCTTCGGGATCGAGTACAAGAGCCAGTCGAGTAACTTTTCAGTCGTGCCCGTCCAGTTGTAGACGAAGCCGAAACTGGATGCTGTGAGCCGGAATTTCCGTTCCCCGTGCCACCGCTTCGAATTATGTTGCTCGATCGTCGCATCGAAGATCTCTTTCTGCTTTGCCTTGTCCACCTGCAGTTTCGCGACAAATTGCTCTACGACCGGGTCGTATCCGGATGCCGCCCCCAGCAACGGCAAGAGAGAGTACTGAAACTTGTGGCTCCAAGACTCGTTCAGATCATTTACATCCTCGTCAAAGCCATATTGAGCCGTTGGTGCTATGTCACCCTCCGCTGGTATTATTGGGTCAATGAATGGAGAGTTTTTATCTCGGAAATACTTTGCGCCGTCGCCTGGGCTCACATCTCCTTGGTTTGAAATATACTCGAAACTGTTTGAATCGTTATCGAAGGTCTTCCTAGGTGACCTTTTTGAAGTACGTCCTTCCTCAAGACTGCCTCGGAAAGCCTCTAGATTTGCCCCGAAGCTTCCTTTCTTTAACATACGCATCAACAAATCGTAATTGTCATCCTTCAATGCAATATTGCTCAGGTCATTTCTCATAGTCTTGGACTCGTCTTCATTCAAGTCTCCAAGATTCGGATTTTCTGGGACTAGGTTCATAAGTCGGAATGGACCTTCTTCCACTAAATAATCCGATCGTTTTAAACGATCAAGACCAGAGTTTTGTTCATCCTGACCAAATTGCCTCAATTTCTTCGGAAGTATCACCGATTGCTTTTTTGCTGTATTGCCCTTTATATTTTTTATCCATCTTTGAAGCAATGATGACAGTGCCTTCGGCCCATTTATTAAGCGTTTTTTAATAACGTTGAGATTCTGTGCAGGTGTAGATCTGCTCCTTTTTAATGAGGCTTCCTCTAAACGATGAGACTTTTCTAGACTAGGCAACTCTGGACCCTCGTGGAAAATGTCAGGTCGGATTAATTGTCTTTTTCTATTTGGAACAGGGTCCTTGTTACTAAATTCGAACTCGTATTTGAAATTTTTATTACTTTTGGAAGCTCCTTTCTGTGGCAGTAGCTCCTCGTAAAAAATTTCTTCCGGCGGGACTGTTTGGAACACCCGGTTTTCATCAATTTTGTGTGATTTCCCGTCAAATGCTGATAAATCATACTTCGGTATTTTCTTTAGTGATCCTGAGCTTTTAAATTCTCCCGGAAAACTGATTGAGGATTTACACACAAGTAAAATGAGGCTGTCGGGTAAATCGATGGCAGATTTTAGGAAGTAATTGTAATCACTTCGCCTCGCAATTATAAGCCATACCGGTGGTGATTTTATGCTTGCATGGGCCTCTGAATCCGGGTTATCTTCAAAAATCGACGATTTCGGCGATTGAAATCGATTGAACTTATCCCAATCCTGGAAAGACAAAAAATCAGGTATGGAGTAGGCTCACTTTTCGTGTTTGGTCCAGTTGTATCCTCCAGCTCGCCGTTCACCAGTTTTACACTTTTGGCGTCCTTTGTCATGGTCAGATATTTTTTATCTAGTTTCTTTGGCCAGTTAGAAATTTGATGATACCGCTGATAAACATTAAAGTGTCTCAAAGTTCCCGCGCATCTTACGCTATGATAGATAATCATAAGAGTAACGCGTATAACGCATAACGCTTGAGGCGAGAAGTGCTTCGGAGGGGTTGGATCGCGAAGCGGTCAGGGAGCGTACGTCCCCCTCCGCCCCCCTCCACACACAGTAGGTATTATATCATTTTATTGGAATTTGGAGTGTAGCCGAGTGCTAGAAATAATGTAAACTTTCTTTAAAAAACTTACATTTTATTAACAAACTTAGACCTAAGTTTAGCCCTTAGGTCTAAGTTTGTTAATAAAATGTAAGTTTTTTAAAGAAATTTTACATTATTTCTAGCACTCGGCTACACTCTAAATTCCAATTTATTCAGTGCTACTACCTTCGGACATTGCATTACAATGTTCGCTGATTTTGATATTATTTTAATAAAACCAATTTTCTTTTAGTCTTCCCGTGGATTCCTTCAGACAGATGGTGTCCTCACAACTTCTAAGAGAAGTCTTAGGAAATAAGGTGAGGCAAACCTAAATAAATTATACAAAAAAAAAATGATTACTTTATACAAATTCTATAAAATTTGTTTATTTTTTTTTCAAAATCAACAATAATGTAAACAATAATCTTAACAACAGACTTAAAAGATACACAAGTTCGGCTTAGTAAACAAATACATTCACATAATATATCACATTGAAATGACCTTTAAATATTTTTCCACGGAAAAAGATTCAGGCCTTTGTTAAAATTAAATCCATTAAGAAAATACATTAAAATGATCAGCTGCTCAACACGGCCCTTTATTTTCCCTTAAAACCTCCTCATTGCAAGGTTAATACCTGTCTTAGAGAGGCTGACCGCAGCCCCCCTCCCCCTTGGGAACATAAAATTCGAGGTTTCTTCATAAGAAATTCTTACCGTGTATGGGAGAATCTATGGCTCGCGTAATAGAGTAGAACCGATCCAGAAGAACTACTGGAAATGAAATGATCAAAAAAAAAGGAGGAATAGTAGGAGCTGGAGGGTGGTTGGGAAAGAAGGGTTCTAATCTCCAGGTCGATCAAGGACAAAAATGGCAGAAACATTGCTGTTTAGGGCGGAAGGTTGAGGGTAGAGGTCATTCTTGACTCTCTAAGTTAATTAGATTAGGTCAGATAGATCTACCTGGAGGACCTAGATGTACTGGAGAGTAGGAACATGGCGAAACACTGAGATCTTAAGGCCCAAAAGTGCAGCCAAGTTTTCTACACGAAAACCACGAAAGGAATGCTACCTTCAATTTTCACGTTCAAATATCAAACCAGAATGGACAACAATTTCTCTAAATGCGCGCCCCTCTAAAAAAATGAGGTACACAGGGGCATCGATGAGAGCCGTTTTAGGATCGGATCTACCCTGGCTAAATTTCCTCAACTCGGCGATTTTTTGCACATTGAAAGTCTATCTCTAACGAAATGCATCATGATTCGGTCGATCCCGGTCTCTTTACGGGTCCAATACTAGCCTAAACATGGATCTGGAGGCCGATTTTGGCGAAAAATGCAGGTTTTGCGGGATAGAGGTCGAATGCTAAAAAAACTGCATTTTTCGCCAAGAAGAGCCTGCAGACCTTCATGCATATATACCAGTATTAGACCTAAAAAAGACACGAATTGACCAAATAATGGTACATTCGAAGATAGACCGTCAATGCGCAAAAGATCGTAAAGTCGAGAAAATTCAGCTGTAGGGTCGGCCGCGGCCGAAAAACGGCCCCTTGTTATCCTTCATTAGTGCAAAAAACCTCTAAAACTTGCTTTAGTTACTTTTGTAACGATGGGTAGTGATAATAGTAATAATAAATAAGTCTGTATAATTAGGGTTCGCAAATTGGCTGTATTTTTGGGCCGTAAGAGCTCTATTACCTAACTTCCAGAATTATCGACATGTAGCACTCTCCCTATTCAGGTACTCTAGGTCACTCGACCCTGTCTTTGCTGTACAAGTTTTTTACACGCTCCTTGTCGCTCTCAAATTATATTCACCCGATGATTCTAAACTGTGTGGGTTCCTGCTACCATCCCCTACAACTCTCTCTTTGTGCTGGTCTCTTCAAATCGATGATGGTTGTATATGAACTCCGGCACCATACGAGTCTTATAGAACTCCTCCAGCTTGACGGTCATGTTCTTCCATAGCTCTGGGTCGTAGTCTATCGTATCGGTGAGAAATCCACGTGGAGACCAGAGGATGAAGATGCCCTTCTTGCGCCCAGAGATGCCCAACTGGCCCTGTATTTGATAGTGGTAGAAGTGGTTGCGGTTCAACCGGACCTGATTCTTTTCCTTGTCGAGCGTGCAGCAGTATAAGTCGCTCTCTTTGATGACAGCGGTAAGATCGGCATTGCGGAGGAAGTAAGGGCACTTGATCTCCAGAAGGGTGTCGTTCCCGATGAGTCCATCGGGGGAAGCGGCCAAGAAGCCCCGTTCCAGGTCAACGATGAGTCCCGAACGATCGACTTTGACGTCATAGCGTCTGGCGTACTCGTCGGCTGCACGGCGCTCTTGGTCACGACCCCAGTTCAATGCCAGCCGTTTCTCCGTCGTATTCTTTGGGATCGAGTACAAGATTCGGTGGAGGAGTCTGTTCGTCGTGCCTGACCAGTTGTAAACTGCGCCGAAGCCGGATGCTGTGAGCCGGTACTTCCGTTCCTCGTGCCACCGCTCAGACTCATTTTGCTCGATTGTCGCATCGAAGATCTCCTTCTGCTTTGCCTTGTCCACTTGAAGTTTCGCGACAAATTGCTCTATGGCCTCGTCGTATCCGTCTACTGCTCCTAGCATCGGCAAGTGAGAGTATTTGAACATATCGTTAGTCCAAGACTTGTTTCGATTACTTGCACCCTCCTCAAAGTTATATTCGACTGGTGGTGCTATGTCCCCCTTAGCAACCACTGATGATTCTGACTCATGGAGGCTCGTGGAACCATCTCCTAACAACCGTCTCTTGCTGTTGATCTCTTCAAATTGGTGAAAGTTGTATATGAACTCTGGCACTATATGCTTCTTATAGAATTTCTCCAGCTTAACAGTCATGTCCTTCCAAAGCTCCGGATCGAAGTCTATCGTCTCGCTAAGGAACCCGCGCGGAGTCCAGAGGATGAAGACGCCCTTCTTCCGCCCGGAGATGCCCAACTGGCCTTGCACTTGATAGTAGTGGAAGTGGTTGCGATTCAACCGTACCTGGTTCGTTTCCTTGTCGAGGGTGCAGCAGTACAGGGATTGCTCTCTAAGGATGGCCGAGAGATTCGCGTTGCGGAGGAAATAAGGGCACTTGATCTCCAAGAGGGTGTCGTTCCCGATGAGTCCGTCGGGGGAGGCGGCCAAGAAGCCCCTCTCCAGGTCTACAATCAGTCCTGAGCGATCAACTTTGACGTTGTGGCGTCGGGCGTAGTCTTCGGCTGCACGGCGCTCTTGGTCTTGACCCCATTTCAGCGCCTTGCGTTTCACTGTGGTGTTCGCCGGGATCGAGTACAAGATCCAGTGGATGAGTCTTTCCGTCGTGCCCGACCAGTTATAAACTGCGCCGAAGCCGGATGCTGTGAGCCGGAACTTCCGTTCCTCGTGCCACCTCTCCGAATCGTGTCCCTCGATCGTCGCCTCGAAGATCTCTTTCTGCTTTGCCTTGTCCACTTGCAGTTTCGCGACGAATTGCTCTACGGCCTCGTCGAATCCATCTGCCGCTCTTAGCATCGGCAAGAGAGAATATTTGAACTTATCGCTAATTAAAGACGTGTTTAAATTATTCACATCTTTGTCAAGGCCGTGTGAAGCCGTTGTTACTAGATCACCCTCTGCTGAAGAAGATGGGTCAGCGCTAGGAGAATTTTCATCAGCAATACCTATGAGGTCATCCTTTAAGCTAGTATCATCCAGGTGTGAGACATACTCGCCACTATTTGAATCGTTATCGACATCACTCGCAATCGACCTCATTGAAACCTCTCTTTCTTTAAGACTGCCCTCTAGGTTTGCCTCAGAGGGTGTTTCCTCTGACTGAGGCAGTAACGCATCATAATTGTGATTACTAGATTCAATACTGGTGAGGTCATTTATAGAAGTTTTGGACTTGTCTTCATTGAAGTCTCCAAAATTTTCATACTCTGGGTCCACGCCCATAAATCCGAGTAGATCTTCCTCCACCAAGTAGTCCATTAGCTGTGATGGGTCTGACTGAGGTTCTGACTTAGGTTCTGACTCAGGTTCTGACTCAGGTTCTGACTCAAGTTCTGACTCAGGTTCTGACTCAGGTTCTGACTTAGGTTCTGACTCAGGTTCTGACTCAGGTTCTGACTCAGGTTCTGACTCAGGTTCTGTCTGGGGCACCAACATATCGTAATTTTCATCATTAGAATTAATGGTGAGGTCATCTATATAAGTTTTGGACTTGTCCTCATTGGAGTCTCCAAAATTCTCATCCTCTGAGTCCACGCCCATAGATCCGAGTAGATCTCTCTCTTCCAAGGAGTCCTCTAGCTGTAATGGGTCTGGGGCAGAGTTCTGGTCATCCTGATGAAACTGCTTCCGTCGTATCGCATTTAACATCGATTGCTTTTCCGGCTCGGCTACTCTCCCGTTCTTCATCCATTTTTCCAGCAATGATGGCGTTGCCTTCTGTTTACTTTTTAAGCGTCGTTCAATCAATTCAAGATTCTTCAAAGGTATAAATCTGTTCCTTTTCAATGAGAATTTGTCAAAATGATGAGACTTTTCTTGAGCAGGCAACTCTGAACCTTTATGTAAGATGTCTTGACGTATTATTTGTCTTAATCTTTGTCTAAAAGGGAAATTTTCATCAGACTTGGACTCGTATTTGACATTTTTTTTATCATTGAAAGCTCCTTTCTGTGGCAGTAGCTCCTCTTCAACAATTTCCTCCGACGGAACTATGTGAAACATTCGGTTTTCATCATTTGTGTATGATTTCTCGTCAAATGCTGACAAATCATACTTCAATCTTTTCTCTAGTAATTCGTTACCTGGGCTTTTAAATTCTCCTGAAAAATTGATTGATGGTTTACACACAAGTAAAATGAGGCTGTCGGGTAAATTGCTGGCAGACTTGAGGAAGTAATTGTAATCACTTCGCCTCGCAATTATAAGCCATACCGGTGATGATTTTATGCTTGCCTGAGCCTCTGAATCCTGGTTATTCTCGACAACTGAAGTTTTCAGCGTTTTTAATTGATTAAACTCAACCCAGTCCTGGAAAGAGAAAAAAATCAGGTATGGAATGGTCTCGTTTTCGTGCATTGATTAAGAACAGGAAACAATAAATCTGAAAATAGTAAATAAAGAAAAAATTGCAAGAGTGAAGCGAGTCTAATACATGACTTTCATCGTTGAAATAAATGAGAGTTTACTTCCCTGGATACTCATTTGTATATAAAAAAAGTTTTACATACATCGGTACGGAATTATTTATCTAGGATAATTAAAATAAATGATTATAATTATAAAAATAATTTATTGACAAAAATGCTGGGGAATATGGAACGAAAAGGAAAATTTTCGGTCCAAGCTCCACTTGTATTTTACGTACCTATCAAAAGTTTGGGAATTATCCTGATATTACCATGTACGGAATTTTAATAAATTTTTGTGCGATTATAAGTGTGTGAATTTTATGAAGCAGCTCCAACGACCTGAAAAATTCAGGAGACAAAATCAGTATATTTCAATATTAGATAGGTTCATGTCAAAGAGGGAGATCATATAATCATTAATTCGTCATTACTTCTGCGGCCCGATTAGGCATTGAAACAATGTCGGCCTGACAAGACAAGACATAGCCCTACCTTAAGCATGAAATATATCGCATTTTGATGTCCCATCGGCCTACTTTAACCTTTCGATAATCGGCCTGCTGTGCGAGAGCATCAATTATCAGCACACTCACTTTCGATTATCTCCGAAAAAAGCATAACATTTGGAAACCTAAATTGGTCACACATCGTACGTATCAACTACGCATGGGATCAAAAATGCTCAAAAAGGTATTGAATCACTTTTATTCATTACATTAAAAACTAGCGTACAGGACAAACTCGATCTTGTGAATGATGTCTTCATTGCAGTTATCGATAAGTATCAGTCAAATTTAACTTACCTTTTTCCTAATAATACGAGGCCCACTTTGTCTGGATGGTTATTTAATTAGAGATGAGCCGTAAATACACTGTTAGGCTTATATGTCGAAACAATTGAATGAATACATCAAGAAGATACTAGGGTACACAGTGTCACAACCAAAAAAATTAAATCAATGTAATGTTCAAAGGATAAAGAGCATTTTCTGAATCGCGAAAAATGTGGTGGCAGTTTACACACATTATATTAACACACAGTTAAACACACATTATATTTTCCTTTAATACATATTTTTTTTCATCAATTAAAATGAGAATAATCCATACAGGATGTGCAAACATTTCAAAATCATGAGTTGAATAACGCTGAATCCGCCAGATCAAATATTAGAGCCTAACACAAAGCGGAGCGGCGACGCACTGGCGCCTACAAACCTAACAGGGATACTTCACGCATTGTGCAACGCGTGAAGTATCCCTGTTAGGTTTGTAGGCGCCAATGCGTGTTTCGCGCTGGCTGCCCGCCTGCCATGGCGCTTGAAGCAACTATTTCACACCAGAGGTATTGCACAGTATCATACGAAACTGAAGGCGCTCTAATATATTAGTAATGACAGGCGTCCATCAAAAGTGCGGAGCTTTCCTCGCAAAATAAATCAAGATACTACGGTCCAAAAAGAGAGCAGTATTCCAAAAACTCACTAAGTCCTAGCATCTGTAATTAGTAACGTTTAGCATACACTTTATCGCCTGGCTGTTGCTTAATCGCCATCGGCTATGAAAGGCTATAAGAAATTGTGTAGCTGGCTATAGAAGCTATTGGAAATCTTACAGCCGGCTGTAGGTCTATGGTATTTTGGAACACAGATTCTACTGTCTATTTTTACCAGGGAGAGACTGTAGCTTTATTTTTATCTATTCCTGTGGGTCAATTTTGGTAACCTCTTTTCTTTAATAAAATGGAACAGAACGTAATAAAACAAAATTTTAGGTATCATAAATTTGGTTTGAAATTTAATATAGCTCACTTTGAAAAAACAGGAGTCAAGCTGCATTTCCTTTGGGTTGAGAAGAGTGCTTACTCCTACAAAGGAATTGATAATTTGACCGGGCAAAGTTGATAGTGAAGAGGAAAATTTTGTAATTTAGTACATGGCCTTGTTTTAGCAGTTCTAAAATCTCGTTAGTAGATAAAAAAAATAACTCTTTTATATAATTCTTAAAGCAACGAGAATCTAAGTTTCATTAAAGCATGTATTTGACTCGCTTACTCATAACCAAGCATTTAACCTGGCCACTCAATTACATTTCATTGACGACAAACTGTACGGTTATTTATCACCTTTTATCCTTGGAAAGTATGCGATGGAAAAATAAATTTTCGGTCAATGACGAACCAAATATAAACATATTACATCGAAATTCTAAACGAAGAATTAACGTGCAAAAACCATTGGCTCGCTGCTTCACCAAGTGGTTCTACTGCAAATTGATACTTAACACTATAATCAGACAAAAACTTCCTCAGCCTCTCATCTACATTATTTTTCCCCCCGCGAAGAAAACAGTATAAACCAGGAAAAATCAAAAGTCGAAGGTGCTGAATATAACAAATCCTTGGCCTGGGAAATCGTCAAGCAAAAGAAGCCAGCGCAGCGCAACTCGTAAGAGTGGCGAGTGCGCCTTCATTATTTTTGTATGCAACAAGGTCAACCACCGAGCATTAATAGTTGCTATCAAATGCAAGCATTCGCTGGACGAAATGCTTTACTGAGAGCACCATATGACACTTATCTGTTTCCTTTGACGGGGCCTATGAAGCATTGTTGCTTGGAACTCCCAAAAATCAATTTTTGTTCCGCTGGTGAATTGAAGATTCCCGAAATATTGGAAATTGACCCTCGACTCTTCTTTAAAACAAGTTCGTGTAGAGAGAAGTTATAGGAATATGCTGAAATAATTCCTGTCTAAGGGCTACTTAATTTAGATCGCATTTAACAGAAAGGAACCAAGCCACATCAAGAGAACATTTGTGCGGATTCTTCTGAAAAATGTTAAGGATTTTGCCTCGCACTATGCAGAAATTTCACTGAAATTTGAGCAAAAATCCGCACTCCCGTTTTCATGTAAAAAATTAAATCGTCCGATCAAATTTGGCAATAGCTGATGCGGCTTGCTTCCTTTCTGCTTAACGCGGTCCATTTAAGATTAGAGAGGCAATATCACTTTGCATCCTTAATCGCGCACGCTCAAAAACGATCACACGAACGCTAGAGCAAAACATGAAGTCGGCGATAGCTGCGTCTCTTTTAGACATTTTCCATGTGTGGACTTCAGTAACATGTTTGTATACGTGGCAAAACCAACCATATTTTTGGTCGAATAATACCTTAAAATCTGGACCAAACGACAAAACAAAAAATAGGTCGATTTTACTATTCCCGACCAACATTTGTTTGATTGCTTTCCTAGTGCACTTTGCGATGCATCCAACCTCTTACGCTAAGCTCTATACTTTCTAATCTTCTAAAATCCGATTACTTACTTTCCAGGTCGTGACGTTGGGCTTTATAAGTCCCGTCGAATCAGTGTAGCCACTCTCTTGGATTTTGTTCGCTATCTCCACAGCCAGGTCGTAAGCAAAGAGCATGTCTCGGTATGAACCCACGATTTGCCATTCCGGATACGCCCACATCAGTTCGTCTTTTGGGATCATTGTGCAAACGAACGGTGGTAGGTAACAGTCATTCGTCTCATCCCCTCGAGTCGAGATGAATGTTGCAAGAGTTAGAATACATGCGCATTTGGTGCCTATATCCATCGTGGGGATTTTGCCCTGTCACCGTCTGGAAAAAGAAATGACGTCCATTCTTAACAAAGATCTACCACTGCTTATGTTAGGCGTTGTCGTGAATGATCCACAAGGATGATAGAAAAATCTACAAACCTGGAGAGAAAATGGCTAGAGGCGACATGGACATCATACCAGCATCGACCAGCACCCGCGTGTTCGTAACCCCCCCCCCCCCCCCCCCCNTGCGTTCTCAAAAGGATAACTAGGTGGCTGTGCATCCCTCACATACATATAACAAAGATGGTATATCTTCTAAGTTAGGTCAGCAGGCTGATTATTGGAATTAAGAGACAAAGCTATAGACAAAGAAGACACAGGGAGTAGGGATTGATCCTAATGGTTGAAATGGGTGGTTCTTATAGACTGAAAGGGTAAATGACGGACTAATTATAGGGGCCCTCAAGGGTTGGCGTTAATTAGTCTATTACCTACCTGTCCATTGCAACCACCCGCTTCCACCAATAGGATCCCTCCATATCTCTTTTGTCTTCTTTGTCTATAGCTTTGCCTATCAATTTCAACTATCGGCCCGCAGGTAGCAAACCGCTACATTCTAACATACTTCCTCCCTGTGTAAATTAAAAAATACAGTACCTGCATGTGAGTACACAACCATGCAATGCAACGGCGCAACTATGCAACTACATACTAGATTGCGGCAGTCCGAAATTTCCAATATTTCCCTTCTCTCAAAGTTATATTACCAGACGTTTTTGTGCGAAATTTTTGGCGAATATATTCTTGAAAGTGCAAAGATAAATCCAATGCGATCTAAAGCAGTAATGATAATCTTTCAGCATTCTTACTGTTCACCACTTATCGAGATATGTGGTACGATATGTGGTACGATATGTGGTACGATATGTGGTACACCGTATTTGCACTATCATTCTAGTAATTTGTATGATAATGAAAGTTACCTTTTATTTTTTAAAACACATGTCGGCCTAAGTAGTTGGTATCTTTGCTGTGAAAACTCAGATTAAATCGAGGCACATTACAGAATTCAGCTTGTAAACCGTCAAAAAACTAGACCCTGATAACTTTCTATTTCTGATTGTGTCATTTAAATCGTATGGGGCCTTCAAAGTAAACGAGCAATCATACTGGGGCATCTGTCCGCTACAGGCGAAATCAAGCCCAAGACTTGATCTTGATTTTGATTAGGATGCTATCAGTTCATATAAGAGTCTAACAGAGAGGGCTCACAATAGAACGAAACATGTGATTCAATCATTGATAATCTTTTTTTTTTCTTTTTTTCTTTTTTTCTAATATTGAAGATTAAATCCATGAGTACGTTACGTGCAGTATTGTTGTGACTTTGTATCAGATACTCAAAGTTCGCCTTTTCATTTCCACGATTTACCCTCAGACACGGGTATAACGGGCGCAGGGATACAAATATTCGTGCTTGATGGATGTCCGTGTTGTATCTACAAAATTGAAGGCGCGCGAAGTCGCAATACTCCGCTCTATGCTGTCGCTGTCAACGAGGTTCCAGTCAGATTTGGAAGAAAAGTTAAACATGGAGGCCCGTTCTCGTCTTTCCTATCTTTGGCTGTAATGCTCACGTAGCCTTTGAAGCACCACTACAAATAAGACAGACGGAAACAAACACAACATGGAAATAGAGCAAGGAAATTAGTGCGTGTTCCTGACGGCGCCGGCGCAGAGATACAACTATTCGTGCTTGGTGGATGTGCGTCTTGCATCTACAAAATTGAAGGCGCGATGGATGAACTCTTAGGGCAAGAGCATTTCAATGTCGCTAACCTTGCAAACATAAACGATCATCTAAACTAGTTTCACCTCTACTCCCAATAAACTATGAATTCAAGACGAAAATTACCGTTGCAAAGTTTACTTTTTGCAAACAATGTACCTAAGTTGCACAATCCCAGCAACATTGAAATGCTCTTAGTTCCTTTTTGCAAAATGCGATCCAATTGGTTGTTGCTGCAAAAAAATAGTTTCCAACAACCTGCTATACAATGCTCCAGTGACCATGTAAGTTGGCCCAAGCACTAACTTTTCGGGAAGAAAGCCTTTCCCTTACCTGGTTTCTCACTTAATATCCGCCCGAGTTTCGCATATCTTCCGTTTCTCCTCATCGCAGCTTCCATCAAACCGCAATTGCCCGGAAACTAGGACCGCACATCTTATCTGATAAAATCGTTCGCCCTTTAGACCGATTCTGGGGGGTTAGGCTAGACTAGTCGATGAGTCAACTGTTGATCTAATTTCATTACGTGAACGTAGAAGAAAAACGGGGTAAAAAATCACTAATGTGTGATCAATTTTCAAGGACAATTCTGTAAATTCTCTTACGATTTTAAATAGATTAAAACGCGTAATATCCAAAATCTAAGCTCAGATTCGGATTTCTCGTGAAAAATTGATGAGATTTCATGTATCATTTGTTATCATAGCGTTGAGGAAAGAGGTTTAATGACGTAAAAAAACACTAATGTGTGATCAATTTTCAAGGACAATTCTGTTATTTCTCTTACGATTTTAAATAGAATAACAGGCGTAATATTCAAAATCTGAGCTCAGATTCGGATTTCTCGTGAAAAATTGATGAGATTTCATGTATCATATGTTAGAATAGCGTGAAGGAAAAAGGTTTAACGACGCGTATGGATTCTGTCGTACTTCCCTTTTGAACTACGCCGCCTGTCGCCCGAGTGAAACCGAACGGGGAGGCGCCGCTAAGCGCCGGCTAAGCGTTCGGTTTCGTCGCGAGGAATTCCTCCCGATAAATTCTTATTCTTCCTCCTCCGCTGACCCACTGAGCACTACCCATGTTGCCACGTTGCATTCATATGCTCGAATCAGTATGTCTACGTTACGTCTCTTTCCTTCACGCTATGCTCGGGTATGATACATGAAATGGTATCGATTTTTAACGAGGAATCCGAATCTGAACTTCGATTTTGGGTATCACGCGTTTTAAGTAAAATTTTTCAACTTCAAAAATCCGAAATGTCTTAAGTGGCTTAAAATGCCATCTCGGCTCCTGTTCGATGGATTCTCCTGAAATTCGGTGTCAGGGTATGATACATGAAATTGCATCGATATTTTACGAGGAATCCGAATCTGAGCTTCGATTTTGGGGATCACGCGTTTTAAATCAAAATCTGTCAAAATTCAAAAAATTCGAAATTCGCGCGAAAATCCGAAATGGCTTAAAATGCTATCTCAGCCCCTGTTCGATGGATTTTTCTGAAATTCGGTGTCAGGAGGTATTTTTCGACGGGAAACTCGAATTTTTAGTTCATTTTTTAAAATTCTCAAATTCAAGATGGCGGACGTGGGCTAAAATGCTATCTCGGTTTCTGTTTGTTCGAGTCTTGTGAAACGCGGTATCACTCGGTATTTTTCAACGGAAAACTCGAATTTTTAGTCAATTTTTTACAATTCTCAACTCCAAAATGTTGGAAGTGGCCTAAAAAATGTGGCCCCGGTTCTGGCCTCCGTTTCTGTTCGTTAGAGCTTTGTGAACCGCGGGATCAGGGGTACTTTTTGACGGGAAACTCGAATTTTTAGTCGATTTTTGAAAATTCTCAAATCCAAGATGGCGGACGTGGCCTAAAATGCTACGTCGGCTCCTGTTCGATGGATTTTTTTGAAACTCGGTGTCTGAGGGTATTTTTCGACCGGAAACTCGAATTTTTACTATGTTTAAAAATTCTCAAATCCAAGATGGCGGACGTGGCCTAAAATGCTATGTCGGCTCCTGTTCGATGGATTTATGGCGCCCCCTTACTACATGCCTACTCTTGTATTTCTGTACAGCCGCAAATTTAGGGTCAAGGGGCGCCTGACCGTTTATGGACCAGGTGGAGTTTTTGTCCTGAAAATTTACCTCTAGACGGCAATTCTCTTTATATTTTGTCTATGGTTTTTATGCCCCCCCCCCTTTCTCGCGGACTCTCTTTTCACTTTTCTTGCCTCCTTTTTCCTTCCATTTCCTCCCTTCTTCCTTGCTTTCACTGCCCAACCTTGTTTCCTTTTCCTTTTTTCCCCTTGTCCTTTCTTCCCTTTTTTTCCTTTTCCTTTTCCCCCCTTTTTTTCCCTCTCTTCTTCTTTCGTGGCGCCCCCCAAAGGCTGCCGCACGCCCTGCACACGCCCTAAGTCCAGGCCTGCTTAAGGCCTAGATACACACAGCGATTAATCGCCGTGTGATCTAGGCCTTCAGAGCTCCACCCACTCTTCGCTATATGCTGCCAATGAGGTGTCATGTCGCTCCCATTCGGAAGAAAACTGGGAATGTCAAAAAAGGAGGCCCGATTACTTATCATTAGGCTCCTATCTTTGGCTGTCTTGACACTCGATTTTTTTTTTTTTTCTTCAAATTGATGTCAGATTCTTTTTTCATTGTGGACCTATATCTAAAGCTCGTATGTACTAGAGTCCCTTTATACCCAGAGTTAAGACAACTCGATTGTCAGCTGACTGGCAGCCGGCCTTGGCTGGCCATGGAGGCCGAAACGAGTGCACCCAAATGAACGATATTGAGGGATAAGGATCAGGAATCCTGCGATGTCTGTCACACAAAAACAACAACATCAACAAATTGATCAATTAAAAAGAAAATGAGATTGGTTTGTGTTGTGAATAATTTCTTAATCTATTTTCATTTTGGACCGATGGCAATAACAATTTACTCTTGAAAAACCACAATTAGGTAATATTTTCATTATTCTTGTTGACATTCGAGGTACCGCCATCTTGGTGCACTCGTTTCGGCCTCCATGAGCGAGAACCAATCAGAATTGGCCACTTTCAGCCCAACCCTGGCCCAACCAAAAGTGCGTTGTCTTAACTCTGGGTATAAAGGGACTCTAGTATGCACAGCTCCACACATCCCTTAAGGCACGTATTTTTAACAAGCCTCGGGTCAATTTGACCCGGTTCGACCATAATAAGGTACGAAATAACAAAATTCATCGGTTACTTAAGTAATAAAATTAAACCGTACTTGAGAACAATTTTCTTGTAGTGATACCACCATTATTGATTACGGGTGTGACTAGAAGTGAGAAGAGGGGAGCTCTTCGCTTGAAAAAAATTCCTAGCCATGTCCGTGTTATTTGAGGAAAGGTACTGGAATTTATGACCGGATTTACCTACTTGCCGCCCATGGGCCACCTGTATTTTGCCGCCCCCTTCTCATTCATTTTGAAACATCAATAAAAACCATCAAGTGAACGTGCCGGAGGGAGAAGGGTGCATAAGACGCGTTCACTCGTGTTGGACACATTTTTTGCGTAAGCCCTGTCAACACTACCAGCAAAAGTTCACGGAACTTCGCGCGAAAGTTCAGTTTCGTAAACCTATCTCTGTGGGAACAAGGCCTTCCATTTATAAGAAATGAACTAAAAATTAAGAAAGAACAAACATAAATAACTTTCGCCGCCGTGCCGCGCTGACCACACTGTGTTGGGCGCAATGCATCAAGTATTCATGTAGTCTTGTAGGCACTGTGCGTTTCACGCCGCGCCGACCGCTGTTGACCGGTCAACTTGACCGTACTGTGTTTTTACGCAATGCGTGAAGTATTCATGCAATCTCGTAGGCGCTAATATGTGTTACATGCCGACCGCCGCGCGCCGCGGGCTTCTCCTTTTCATCGCAAGTCCTCGTCATCATTTCTCTTTGCGCCGCGCCGCTCCAGGCCAAATTACGTGTTTGGTTTCTCTCTTAACTCAACTAATTAAAGGCGCGCAGTCTTTTATATCACCGAATTACGACAAAATTAGAAATTGATGAACTCTCAGGAAATGAGAGATTTTGTCACCTTTTCTTGTTTGTAATTTTTTTCTGAATCCGATTTTTTCGTACCTGCAGTTAAAAAAATTGCAAAATTTGCCGCCCCCTAATTTTGCCGCCGTGGGCCGCGGCCCATGTGGCCACCCCCTTAATCCGGCCCTGCTGGAATCCTGGAATTAAGTTCCACCCTTGATTCCCCCCCCCCCTTTCTCACGGTATATCTAGGGTATATCAACCTTTAATTCAAAACGCGCGCCATAAGCACCTAAATCCTCCACTCCTTGCGCGCTCTCTCGGATGTCTACTGAACTAGCTCTGTAAACAATAACATGGAAATGGAGTTATCAATTTTCATTCATGCCGTTCGCATTTTGCCGCATGCCTGTTGTTCTTCAAATTTCTGTAGCTTTTCATTAAAAATTTTGAATAATCATGTCATTTATTCGCATGCGCTTTAACATCAAACTCTGCTTTGTTTTCCTACTTTTAATAATAATGATAAACGTATTACTGCTGTTCGCAATTTTTAGTCAAGAAAGGAAAGTGATGATGCCAGCTTCTCCTGTAAGTACATTTTCTTACGTATTATCTCTGCAAATATGCAATCTTACAGGTACACACTTAATCAAAACCTGACATGAGATTTCTGCTGTACCAATGAATATTCATATCAAGCTCTTCATGCACTTAGTTATAGCAGTGCAACCAATTAAGTAGGTACCATTTAGCTCGTTGTCAGTGTGTCGTCCCTCGTCAAAGCCCCAAAGTACAATAGAGTCGCAGTGTACTAAAATACTAGAGCGCTGATGAAGTTAATCCTTGAATGATGCATTTCTAGCCTCCAGTTTGCTGGAAAGTTGGGACTATACGGCTCTTTTTAACACAGTGGCTCGCAGCCTGCGAGCGGTTTTTGGGATTTATTCATTTTAATTGATAATTATTTTTGAAAATTTTGGAGACTGAAGTCATGAAAATTCAATAATGCACAAAACTCTTGGCTCTTATGAAATAAATTTTATACCTGCGTGTTTTGAGTGAAGCTCCTGTTCACGGCATCGACAGTCGCTACACACTGGTCTCATGAGTTCTGGACAAAACAGCCTCAAAAAGTGACTTCATTAGCACTCCAGTTAGCAACTCTATCATACACTATGGTCAAAGGATAGTAGTTCATTATCGTTTATTGTTTCGCTTGGCATATTCACACCATCTTGCTCCTTAACTCATTCGCCTTGTTTGACGAGTATACTCGTCAGTGCGCGCCCAGGACATATCTCAGTTGACGAGTTGATTCGCGGCATCTATCGGCGTTGCTATGCGATTTCTTTGGCAGTGTTTTTTCACTTTTCCGATAGATGGCATCTCAAGCGTTGAAATGGCGAAAATGGCGCGAATTAACTCGTCAGCTGAGATAGTGTCCTAGGCGCCCGCTCACGAGTAAACTCGTCATGTGAGGCGAATGGGTTAAACAGAACTGTAGCAGTGCACACAAATCCAGTATGGATTCATGAATTAAATGTGCCATCAAGAACTGGCAAAGCTCTATTATTGCAATACTGAAAACGGAAAGGGATTCTGAGGTTATAGTTTATTTATTTGTGTGTCTATATCTAGTATGATCTAGGGTGGTCAAAAATAAAAGCAAATACTTAAATCTACTAATATAGTTTTCTTCTTTGTCTACATTTACAGGCAGACATGCAGTTGAAAGATTCAAAACATGAGAAAGGCATTGCAAATGATTTTTTTGCCACGAGAATTATAGAAGTATCAAAGGCCATCAGCAAATTTTATAAAGTTCCACTTCTTAATCCGTTAATGAAAAAACACTTGGATACATTGATTAATGACCTTCAAGTTCACATCAACGCATCAGAAAAACTCCTAGCGAGATCAGTTGCGGTGAGTATTTATTTTCTCCTCAGACCCGAGGTAGTTATATTTAGTGGTATTTATCTCTCAAAGAATTGCAGCTACCTTATTTCTAAAGATGCAGTTAAACCACCGTTCTCCCTTTTTCTTTTCTAACATTACCGACAAATTCTCTGTCTAAATAAAAAGACGTAGGGAAGGTTAGATTTTTTTAGAATCTAAAATGATGGTACCAGTCTCAATATGTAAGCACATGTGTTCATTTTCTCTCCGATCTCCAAATAGAATGTTGTAAGCATTTGCGCTTTCAACATGTTCTCTAATATCCATTTACATCTTTTTCAACTCATTTAGCAAGGAAGAACCACAAATTGGATATTTTGCATCATGCAGCTCCTTTCCAATTAATGCAGTCCACATAAAACCAAGGACTATTTTCAGGCAAGCTTATCACAACAGGATAGTTATCTGTCAAACTTGCTCCCTCTTTTTTTTGTTGTTTTCTCAAGTATTTCTCTTGATTTGCATTTTAGTGGGTTACTTGGCAAGAGCTTATACCTCGTCAAGGGGAGCCATTACTAGGAAGTGTACTTCACGCCCTCAAAACATTACCAATCTCATCTGTCGACAATGCTTCTAAAGGAACACAGCTGAAACTTATGGTTTCATTTCAATCTAATCTGAAAGCCATCTTTAAACCTAAGTGGTAAACTTTTTTTGTTTTTATGGTTTTAATTACGCACAAAGTTTTTTTTTCCGTGTGAAAATAAAATGGTTTCAATAAGTGAACCCTTTCATATAAGTAAGTCTCAAATTGTATGGAAGTCTTTATGCTAAAAAGAACTGTTAAAAGGAATAAAAAAAAAACCATATTCCATGCAAATCCCATACACGCAGGTTCTTTTCATTTATTTTAATTTCACTTAGTTCTTTTTAGGATAAACATGTCCAATTTTACAATTTTGTGTACTCTGAAAATATGAAAATAATGCTTGTCTAATGTTGTTAAAAACCTTAACTATTCTTTGTAGTTATTCTGTAGATACAATGTTTGCTTGCTAATTTGGAACTGAATGGATCAAGGCTCTTTTTTCAGTCGATGAGAATTTGAATTACGTATCAATATTTTGATTATAGAGTGCCTAGAGTTCAAGCCAAATAAGTTAACACCTAAGAGTGCGATAAAATTTCTGCCATCTTGTTTCTTAAATTGATTTTCAATACTAAACTGAGGGCAGATGATCCTCTGTCATTTTCTAAAAATGAGTAAACTTCTTTGCTGTAACTAATTAACTAAACTTTAAATTTAAAACTAAACTAAAATTAACTAAACTCTACTGAGAAATTTTTAAATTAATTGGAATTGAGGAGATTTTTGAGTAAGCTCCATAATTGTAAAAATGGACTGTTGATTTATAACTTGAAATCACGCATCAATGCCTTTTACTAATCCACTCATCTACATTCAAACCTTTTCGATTCATAGAGCTTATGATTCTGTGAGTTTTAAGTACAAAGTTTGCAAACCTGGCTTAGAAGTACTGTGCCCTGTGGTCGCATCATTTCAAGAGATTGACCTGATTCACCTGCAGATTAGGTCCAAAGATTTTGAACCAACAAGAGAAGACGAACACCTGCTTTTTTTAAATGGAGATTTCTCTAAAGGGACTGGTATCTGCTCTTTGTTATCAAGATTTTCAAATTAAAGGAATCTAACTATTAAATGTGCACTGTATGTAAATTCTTTCTTCATTTTTTTAAACTCAAAAATGTTTTATAGAGCAGCATATAGAGCAGATATGGTAGCAAATTTTGAACCTGTATCAAAATAATTTTTGTCACTCTTCCTTTCTCTTGAAACGGGTGAAAATAATATATTGTTTCATAAATTCTTACCACCTTTAGTGTGTATTTAAATATCTTAATTACAGCCTCTGAAATTTTTGGTACCATTAAATAAATGCATACCGATGAAGCTCTAATGGAGTTAGAGAGCTTTTTGCCTGCTGTGAAGGATACTCACCTAATGATAAAAAAAAGTGATGAAAGTTTCATCATTCTAATTGATTTTCCTGTAAATTTTGCAGTTATTTTAAGTTCAGTTACTGTCTTGTTTGGAAAAGTAACTCCAGAGGACCGTCAAAGCTCTTGCGTTTGTACTTGTAACCATCCTTTTATGTTGATAATTTGCTAGAATTTTTTTTTCTTGTGAATGCCAAAGCTTCTTGTCTGACTTTTTACTAATTCACACTTTTTTACCAGGTACCCACTTAATACGATTATTGAGGGCCCAGTATATGCAGGCAAGGACCGATATTTTGGGGAAGTGGCAGCATTTCATCTATCCCTTCTTCTTGGATTACCTCGTGCACCAATTTCTGTGAGACGACAATTCAATGTTCAATTGGAATTGGCTCCTATTGCATCGCCTGAATTGTTGAAAACTTTTAGCAACAACAATGGTAAATTTAATTCAATAATTTCCTTCTTAAAGATCTAATATGAGAATAAGCCTCTGATGATGGCATTAGTTGCCAACATGCCCAAAGTATTTTAATTCTATTACTTCTGTCATTAAACCTTGATGGTGAAATAGAATCTATATTTATTTTCTGTTCTCACACCCTTTCATCTAGATCATTCATAGATAAATTGTTTGATGCTTCTATTGTTCTAAAATTAGAATTACTTAATTTTCTGTGCAGAGCTAAGTTTTTAAAAGTCCGATTTGATTCAATTTCACCTCTGCACTTCATTCTGAAATGAAAAAAACTATGAAGATAGGTTTAGTTTTGCAGTAAAGAGCTTGACATTTCTTCTTTTGTTAAGATGCTTTTAATTGTTTTTATTTTAATAAGTGTATCAAAGAATGTTATCTTAAACTCACTAAAATAAAGATTTGATTTCAGATAATGAGACATGCATGTATGGAGTGTGCTACTATTGTCATCCAAATGATCCTGTCTGTACTGAGAATGGAATGCTCGATGGAGCCCTGATATTGTGGCTCCCTGAGTATATGGAAATAAAAAAATACAAACATCCTTGGAGACGAACATATCGCAAGAATGTACTGGCCAAGTAGGTTGTCATTGATTCTGTCAGTTGAACATCATCTAATCAAGCACAGTAATAGTGATTTGAAGGAGTAAGAAACACAAAAAATGCTGATTCTAGGTGCTAACAACACCAATGTCCTTGGTTATGCCTCTTTTGATGCCTCTTTTGAATGGATCACTAAACCATGAATGGATTTTGACTCGTAATTCAATTCCCTGAAGGTAAATGACGTGCAGAACACGATTCGCATCTTAAAAACGTGAAAATGTAACTCAGAAACTAAGAAATATGCAGCTCAATAAGCCCAACTGCTCAGCAAATTTAAAAAACTCCGGTTTCGCTCTGAACCGAATGACGTCATCAGGCATCAATCAGAAGTGCACTTGGGTTTCTACAACTTTTTGCAAATGTTGTGCTACATACTTCTTGTAGCTGAAAACAAGAGGAAAGTCAAAACTGTATCATCAGAATCAAGGAGTTGAATTTCATTCATGTTATCTGTTGGAAATGAGCAACAATTCCACATCGAAGTACATTTTAATAGCAATTTGGCTGTCGCAGTACTTCCTTCATTTTCCTGTCATTCTGTTGTGTTTGAAATTGCTCTTTGCACTTTTTAAAAGCAGGCTTGTCTAGGATTTTGGCTCCAAAAATACGCAGTGATGCAATGCGTAATCTACTTACCTGGTACTTTCAGAATATTAAATGAGAGACACAATGTTTAGTGACCCATCACTTTCTCCAATTATTTATCTTCTCTCTCAGCTCATAATACTCTTGAATTACCGCAGGGGCACATAATTTTTTTCATCGTAAAGTTGTATGCATGTGAAGCGGCTGTTCCGTTTTCAGCAGTTGTGGAATAAAAGTTGCATCAGTTCATTTGATCGCCATCCTGAAGTAAAACTAACTTGATTTTTCCTGTTTATGTCAGGAACCAAAATTGACTTAACCATCTGTCAAATAAGATTCCGATCTATGCACGCAAGATGGGTTGCTCCTTGCATGCTTGAAATGCGTTTTTTCCAACTAACATTTAAATATATTACCCTCAAACACTATGTCTTTTTCAAAAACAAATTGTTTGTCAACAGGTGGGAAACTGACAGCGAGTTTTGTGCTAAAGTTAATGTGTCTCAGTTTTATCGGAATCGTCCCTCAGTCCTTCTAGACCTCATCGATACATCAATTTTCGACTTTCTAATCGACAATGGAGATCGGCATCATTTTGAAATGTTTGCTAATACAGAGTCTCCAGTTCTTTTGATTGACAATGGCAAAAGGTAAATGGTATTTCTTGATCATTTAAATACTTTTAATTTTTAGGTTGATGTTTGTAGTCGAGCCATTTTTTATCAACTCAAGACCAAAAAAAACTGTCACCTATTTTTACCAAACTATATAGATTATACCATTAGAGAAAAATATGAAATAAAACAGAATATTTAAAATTTTTTAATGTTTTCCTCAATATTTTTTGGATTTGCTTCGTCAAAGACTACGCTTTAGTACGACGTAGGAAAATACTTTTTACACTATAAATTCATTATTTTAGAAATTTGTCCCTTTTGTCATTTTTATAAAATTCTCTGATTCCAAAGGATCCCATTCAGCAATGTAGTAGGTCTCTTTCCTTGGATGCTCCCACGTTTAATTTCCCGATCCATCTTTCCAGCCTGAGCTAGCCAAACATCAAGGCACCTTTATAATCCTCATTTTCTTTGACGTGACAACTGTCCTCGAGCTCTACGCTTTGCCTTTCTTTGCAGCTTCTGCAACAGACAGCTCCAAAAAACAGTATTGTTTTAGTCCCTTGATGACGTAGAAACCCTCTAACACTTCCCTGTGTAACCTGATTGTTCCTTTAAGTGGCCCCTGCAAGGCTTTTGCTAAAAAAACTTCTCTCCAAAGTTTTACTGACGAGCTACCCAGCATTGGACTCATTCCTTTCCTGAATTCTGTCTTTCTCTCTTCTTAATTTTAAAAATGATATGTTGTTGAAGTAATTGCCTGGATTACTTTTGATTTTTTAAATTCATCAGAAGACTAATTTTTTTTTGTTATTTATTTTCAGTTTTGGTAATCCTCACTCGGATCATTTAGATATTCTGGCTCCATTGTATCAATGCTGCAGGTATGTTTCACACTTTCTCTTAACATTTGACTGTAAAATCCATTGAAATATATAATTAATCCTGTTGTCTCACATCAAATTTTTAAATGTATACAGGTTGTTTGCCAATGGGCTTGTTGCAAACTTTTGCTAGAGCAAAACTAAGAGTTGTTTCTTATAGATAATGTCCCAAAAATCACATAAGCGCATCGGCAAAGTCTGAAATGCACCCATAACTCCACAAGCTGCGTAAGGAATTAGCGGTTTTTTGAGCTTCCCGCTTAAAAAACGATACGACAGCACAGGTGAACATTTTGTTAGAGGAGTCCCTCCATCATCGGCAATATTCATAATGGCCGATGCCAATCCGCCAAAATACGTGTGATGGGATAAGATAACACCTGACCAGGATAAGACCAGAAAACAATTGGCATGTTTACGTTCATATTTTCCTTGCCTGCCTTGGTTGACCTTGAACTTCATTCGAATTACGCACGGAACTGCGGAAGCGTCGGCCATGATGAATATTGCCGACAATGGAGCGACTCCTCCAACAAGAAATTCACCTGTGCAGTAGTATCGTTTTTGGAGCGGGAAGCTCAGAAAAATGCAAAATTCTTACGCAGATTGTGAAGTTATGAGTGCATTTCAGATTTTGCCGATGCGCTCATCGTGATTTTTGAGGCATTATCTATTGGAGACAACTCCTAGTTTTGCTCTAGCAAAAGTTTCCAACAGGCCCATTGTTTTCCCACATTTGTTACGCATTTCTTCCTATGTGTTAGAGCAAGCACTAAATATGCAGAAGGTATTTTCATATCATCTTATACAAACATAATCATATTTTTTGAAATTACAACAAAGAACCTTTTTAAACTGATGCTGGTAGATAGATGCTCCGTAAAAATATCAGTAATTCGATTCCTTCAGTATGTCTAGAAATGTTCTGTTAAAAAATAGCTGCTATAATAATTCTTTAATTATTTTTCCAGAATCCGATACTCAACATATGAGCGTTTATTAGTTCTGAAAGGTGGAACACTATCCAGATACCTTTCAGAAATGTTGAAAATGGTTTATGACTCAACAATTTTGACTGACTTGCATTTAGAAGCTCTGGAAAGGAGACTCCTGCTCGTTTTTTCAGCGATTGTGTTTTGTATCAAGGAAAAAGGTGAAGAGTTTGTTCTTGTGCGGTAATGTAAAAAATTCCCAATCTTAAGATGGTACTCCCACTCAAACTTTAGTCTTGCAAAAACTCTAGTCACTTGTAACGTGCCTTTTTTTCTTACAACCGCAATTTAGTGTCACAATTATTAGCGTATTTACTTGTGAACTTGTCACTAATGGAATTTTGAAAAACAGAACTGTCAAATTTTGTCCAACTCTAAAATATTTTCTGAAAATTTCCTCAAGCAAAGGAAGCTATAATGAGCCCTGTAGGGCTGTAGAGTAATCAATTGTCCTATCAATTGAATCATGTCTATTCTCTTTTTTACTTTCTTTAGTATCTCTCGAGTCCACGCCAAATAAGTTTACGCACCTCCAGTTTGCAACAGAAGATCGTCTGACATTACTTTTACATGTTAATTAAATGGAAGAATCATGATGGTGGATCTTCTGTCACATTCTGAAAGTACGAAAAATTATTCAGATTCTATTTATTTTTCAAGTTTTGCACCCGTGCTCTAGCAAAGGTCAAGAGCATCATAATGAACTTACTTTCTCTGAAAATACTTTAATCTGAACAAAAATTCCAACTAAAAAGGAAACATTTGAAGTTCACATTACCATTGCTTATCAAATTTGTCTAAGAGCTGTGATAATTATTATGCTAGTAGTTAATTTGCAAAGAATCGTTTTTGATTAAGTTTATTTAGTACATTAACCTGTATGAGAATGAATGATGAATGAGTTGTAAGTAATCAGTTGTTGGTCTCCACAATATTTCTAGGAAAAGCATTAGAAAGTATTGGTCAAAAGGCTCAATTGACGGAGAGGGATCCTTCACCATTTAAAAAAAACATTATCCTGGCTGATCGTAAAGATTAACGAAACAAAATCAAGAAAGGGCCCCCTGTAAACATTATTTAAGGGGGTTACACATTATATTAGCTCAAATGGTGAAATGATGATGCTCAATCAGAAAAAAAAGAAGTCTTGGAAATGTTTAAAGTGCAAGTGTGCCTCATTTTCCTTGCAAGGATTCATTCAGTGCTCAGGAAAATCATAATCTAACTGTTACTTAATTCTTAGTATACCTAACTCAATGCCGTGCAAAGGTTTCATTTTGAAAGACTTTGTACCCTACTAGACTAGACTTTGTAAGTACTCGTAACACTCAATTTCTGTGAATTTTTCTAAAAGTTTTATGTCAGATGTATTTTATTTTTTTTATGAAGAGTCATTGTTGAAAAGTGTGCTTTTTGTACTATATTGAGCATACTACTCCTTCATATCAATGTGCATATTTTTTTGTTTTTCTCAAAATCATTTTTGCATGATGAAAGACAAGGTATATCGTCGGTGCAAGTCGGCAATCACATAACTCGGTTTGCGACGTCGCAGACTTCCTGTCGTACTTTATTTTTTAAATGGAAAACTACTCAACGGCAATTCTTTAAAACTGTCATGATTTTTCTTCTCAATGCGAAGAAAATTCTGCAAAAACTTCAAGAAATAATGTCAATTTGCTCTCCTTTAAAAGAATGACTTAGAGGCGGAGATTTTCAGACACCGCAAACGAGTTATGTGATTGCCGACTTTCACCGTCGATATGTATTTATTTTTTGTCTCAAAATTGTAAGTCAGAGGAGCACAGGAAATGGTGGTAGTAATTCCCCCC